ATACTGACTCCCAGCCGATCAGTCCTTGTTGTACCCATTAATGCCGAGTGCCAGGCAGGGACCAACAAGTACCATATTTTAACGTCTTTTGGTATGACGCGGTCGGGGATCGAACCCGCGACCTTCCGCACTCCGGGCGGACGCTCTAACCACTACACCACGGTGGCTGTCATTGCAGCACATGTATCTGTTTACTGTTAAGCATGAATAGCCCACTCAGACACATTATACTGATGTATACCCATTAACACCGAACGCCTGACAGGGACCAACAAGTACCATATTTTAACGTCTTTTCGTATGCCGTGGCCGGGGATCGAATCCACGAACTTCCGCTCTCTGGGTGGACGCTCTAACCACTACACCACGGTGGCGGTCATTGCAGCACATGTATCTGTTTTCTGTGCTTGTATGTTTGCATCACTTGCGCGTGTGTTTGCAGCACTAATAGCTTTACAGTGCAGGGGCGGATAACCTTTTTGAGAAAGGGTGGGGTGTGCGGAAGGGTGGGGTGTCACTCTCTTGAGAAAAGGGGGATGCACACTTCATTTTCACGAGTTTCAAAGTTCATTTAATAAACTTTTCACGTCAAAAGTGTGGGGGGGTGCGTACTCCTGCATCCATCCCCCCTCTGGATCCGCCTATGCAGTGCCTGTATGTTTACATCATGTCTATTTATAGTGCATGCATTTATGACACACATGCACCTGCATGTTTAGAACACATGTATCTGTTTACAGTACATGATCCATGATTCAAAACACCAAGATGACCATAGAATGTGATGGCCATTCCAACTCTAGTACTGCAACTTTATTCATACCACAGGGTATAGAAACAACTGTGGACTGTGTAGAGCTGAGTCCCGGAATCCAAGGAACATAAGTTTGAATCCCAAATGTGGACTATTCTATAGTTTAATAGCTCACTACACATGGGTTTTACCCCAGTTAAAAATAGTTTCCCAGTTGCCTCAGTTTGGGATTTCCGAATTCTCAATCTTTATACAACTGAAACTATGAATCTTCAAATATGGCAATCCGGCCCTCAAAGATCTGCCTGGTTTGCCATTAGCGAATATGTTGGCTGTGACATTAAAATACCTCCCAGGCAGAATTGAGGTAAATTCACTTGAATTTTTATCTCTATGCATAATCAACTCAAGGATAAAAGAAAAATATTTATCAACATTTGTTAGATGTTTCACAGATGAAAATGACAACAATTTTAATACTTTGCATTTCCAAACATTTTATTTGGGTGCAGAAGAATACATCTCATTGATCAAGAATCTGTTCCTGATTTTGACAATTGCCTGATTTTGACAATTAAGTCATGGAATTCATGCATAAAAGACTCTTTTATGGTAACTTTTATGTAAAAATGTCAACATAAAATGGAAGAATGAACACATCATCATTTTTTATAGTCTTCCACCAAAAAATATACACAGAGTTCTCATCTCATTCAGTGCACCAGGTATCCAGGAAATTAGAGGACATAACCGAGATAGAAACACTAAATACATATAGCAAATCCCTCACACTTACTCCTTCCCAGGTTGTTGCATATCCATATGAATAACTAACGATGTAAGAAATTTATCAGTTCAGTTTTAAAAGAAACTAAAACTGCTCTCCAGACAGAAGCCTCATGAACTAGATCACAGACGTCATCACAATGCACAAAGAAGGACTTAAGCGGTTTCATTTTTCTTTAACGAAACAAAATCCTCAAAAGTAATTGAGTGATCAGGCTTTAACATTTCTCCAGCATAACCACAAACACTAGTTTGTAAAGTCTTGAAACTCGACAGAGAAAGACTTTCTGTATGAGTGAGTGAGTGAGTTTAGTTTTACGCTGCAATCAGCAATATTCCAGCTATATGACGGTGGTCTGTAAATAATAGTCTGGACCAGACAATCCAGTGATCAACAGCATGAGCATCTATCTGTGCAAATGGGAACCGATGACAACTTTCTGTATGATATTCATATGCTAGACACAGGTTTCAATTGCCCCGATTCTCAAAAGGCATTATTTTGGAAATGTAGAATTAGCAAAGTGAAAGAAGAATGAATAGATGATGGTGGTGATAATGATGATTCTTTAAACTGGTTGTGTCTTAATAGTATGATGCAAATAGTTGAGTCAATGCCATAGTGATATTTATATATATATATTGTTATAGTAATACTGTACATCCTGATGGGTGAAACAGAAGACATGAACGGGTACAAGTTTCCATTTTCAGCTCTCAAAAAAGCAGATTCAATAATAAAAAACCTAGAAGGCAGCATTTAAAACAACAAAACATTTCAACGTATGAATAGACTCATAGAATGTTTACAGTCTGAAAGGAAACACATGACAACACAAAAATGATGAATCATTCCTTTAATGTGTTGAAAGCAGCATGTACAAGAAAACGAATGGTCGAATAATGTAACAACTGTTTTCCAGCATTTGGAAATATGAATTTCGGACCTGTTCTAAGGGAGATAAATTCACAATTAATGAGGCAGTCACAGTTGTCTACCTTTGAATACACCCACTTGTGTTAGCAACCAGAATCGTGACTAAAAGACCAAATTAAAATCGAAGGAAGAGGGTGCACTGGAGTTTTACGGTATTTCAGATATACCATATCATATCAGATTCCAGCAGATATGGCGTTGGTAAATCAAGGATATATCGCTAATAATTAAGGAGATGCAGAGACTTGAAACAAAGACACAGCAGATGTAGCTGTGCAGTGCTTCAGATCACTGGGTAGAGTGATGAGCGTATACAGAAAGGTATGATCCACTTGGAGGATAACATCATGATTATCATAATTTGAAATTACAAAATTATCTTACAAATGTATGTACAAATATCCAGTCTGGCAGAAGAACAGAGGCATGAATAAACAGATCATACATATCTTCCTACAGTTATGTGCCTCATCAGTCTTGCATTACATTAGTTATTGTTTCAGCAAACATTTGCAAATCCCAAATTCCGCAAACCCAATCAGAACCTCACATTTCCCTGAGACGTGTGCATGCGTAGAGAGGTCAGTTTGTGTTGTGCTTAAAAGAATGGTCAACAACTAATTAATGAAGTGAGATAAAGTGGAAGCCTTGACAACCTGAAGAAACTTCTCGATATCGCCATTTGAAGTGGTTGAGAAAATGTCAAATAAATCGACAGATCCAGCAGGAGATCAAATCTTTGACCATCGAGTTCAAGACCAAAACTTCACAAGTGGGTCAGGTGAACAAAGCCCAATTCCATCTTGGTTGGTCAGCAAGAGTCATTGTTCAGTGCCTTTAGTCACGCTCGAGGCTATGATGCTAGCAATGATAAACTCAACGATTCTGAGGAAACATTGCCTGATGTTAGGAGCGAGCTTGCTTCAACTGTGAGTGAGGGTGTCAGAAACAATGTCAACATTAAAAAACTCAAAGCCATTATGGATAAGTACAAGCAGCGAAGTATATGTGAAGCACTTATCATGATTGCTGTCAATGAAGAGGTATGGGACAAAGCTAAGACATACACTCGATCCAACGACTTGAAACACCAACATACACAAGCCCTCATTATGAAATCTCTAATCCCAGTTGTTCAGACCACAGACAGCTTGATGTCAACGGCCATGGGAAATAGTAGTGTCTCATTAGTCTTAGCTTACCTTAGAGACCTAAGCGAGTCTACTTTAGAAGATCTTTTCTGTTAGAGTAAGAAATGGTGTGGCCTCTTTGCCTTGTCAAAGCTGTCCTTAGATGCAAAGCTATGTAGTATTCAAGTACATTCCATGAAATATCACAAAACTGACTCACCGGTTCAGGCTGATATTAAGTGATAGTATAAAGAAGTATGTTGTGAAGACTCACAGCAAAAAGTATGGATGCAGAGAGTCTACAAAACATACATTTTGAAATATATTTCTCATTTTGAAATCCAGATTTGAATTTCCCACTGTGTCAGTCAGGTGGCCAGAGGAGGTGTGTTTCCATAGAAACAAGCCTTGGAGTGGGGAAATGTTTCATTCAGGGTTTCATATTTCAGGCAGGCTGGGGAAATGCCCCCCTCCCCCACTCCCCTGACACCATGCAGTGCACGGCACAGCTTGTCCACTTATCTGATGCCGACATCTCTTTGCTGAAGATTTTATATTCAGAATATAAGTAAAAATAGATGTTTCATATATGCTAATCAAAAAAATCTCTTTAGTCATCAAAATATGAAGTGAAAGTGTTGTTGGACATTTACTATAAGGCACATGTTTATTCTAGTAGTAAATTCCACGGTTAACCTTTGACATCGCTAGGCTCTTGCCAGGCACCAATAGCTCTTACAGCCTTGTCACTGACAGACTGATAACATCTTTCCTGCTGAGCGGTAGCAAATGGGAGACGTGTGCGTGTGCGTGTGTCTGTGTGTGTGTCGCTCATCACACGAAGACACAGGTTCGATTCCCCACATGGGTACAATGTGTGAAGCCCATTTTTCTGGTGGCCCCTGCCGTGGTATTGCTGGAATATTGCTAAAAGCAGCATAAAACCATAAAACCATACTCACTCACTCACTCACTCACTTAACATCTCACGGAATTCTGAGGTTCTGACTGTAATTCCACCAACCTAAGAATAACTGAGGGATCATGTGTCCACCCATCATGATGATTCCCACCCATTTGGTGGTTTTAAAGGTATAAATTTATTGAAAAAAGTCTGACCTCTCTACACTTCTCACGTAATCCCTGAGTTCTTTTTAGGCTGGTGGAATTATAGTCAATCATCACCTTACAGGTAAGTCTCACTTAACTGTAAATAAATAAAGAATCGAGTATGGACTTTTCCCTACACCTCACACAGGGGTTAACTTTAACACTAACCAGAAGAAAGTTTGGCTCTGAAGAGGCGGCAGTTGAAAATCTGGAAGATCTGATAATATGATGACAGGCAAAAATTGAAATTTAGGGCAATGATTTAGGATTTTCCAAAGAATTATTTGTTTTCAACATGACAAAGATTTACTCAGCATCCCAAAGGTGAGAAAAGAAAAGGTGAAAAATACACAGATGAAATGCATGGACTGCACCAAAAAAATCGTCCTTTATCCACCAGTTCCTGGTTCTCTCCTGGAGAGTGGGTTTGGTGTAACGCTGCTTATAGCAAATATCAGCAAAATTACTGTCATCACAAATTTTACACATCGAACCTGATGAGTGGACACTTTACTCAGCTATCCAACAGCTACAAGAAAAGGTTCCAGTTCTTTAATATGCCCCACTTGCAAAACAGTTTCATATCACACTGATATAGAAGAACAGAATGTCTCAGTGTTATGGAGACTTGTACTATGGCTCCGTACTGCCTATAGTATAAATACACCCATAACCAGTTACATATTCACCTACACTATACCCCTTGAAGGACCTTCAACAGCTTGTTCTGCAGAGTAATAGCATGCTTCTTCATTATGATTATCAATAAAGTTCCAGTTTACACTGCATCCATGACATGAAAGTCACCAATATAAAACTCACCAATCCCAACCGTCATTCTTGCTGCTATTAGTCTGTTTCTGCTGGGTAATGTCGAAAGGCATTACTTCTGATAAAAGTAGGTTTCTTCATAATGATTATCAACAATGTTTCCAATCCACACAGCATTAATGACACCAAATACACCATGTCAAACTCACAGAGGCTACCATCTCCACAGAGATCTCCCTTGCTGATATTGGCCCTGCTTGGCAATGGCTAAAGACATCTTCTTCGTGTGAAAACATGTAACTTCATAATTATGATCAGCAAACCTTTAAATTCACACTTCATCCATGACAACAAAGTCTCCCATGTCAACGTCATCCATGTCAAACTCACAGAGGCTACCATCTCCACTGAGAACTCCCTCACTGATGTCATCCTGTTCCCATTCAAACATATTCCCCTCATTTCCTTCAGTCTTATCACCACCTTTCCTTTCATTCTTGTTACCACTGCTCAACTGGTCCTTAGTCTTTGTGTCGACAAATTCTTTCTTCAAGTAATGACTCTTTGTCTTGGACCTGCTAGCCTTGTCTCCCTCTGATCGATTTCTCAAATTTCTGTGGTAATCTCTGTCGTCAATCTGTTTGCTACGCATCTTTTGAGATTTTGTGGTACTAAGATCAACAAAGTCCTTTCGATCATCTCTTTTCAATGAATCATCTTTACTGAATTGCTCAGCGTATTCTGGTATCTCTCGACCTCTGTTTCTTTCTTTACCACTACGTCTCACTGATTTATCTGCACTGGAACTTTTACTATGTGCTCTGGATCCTCGTCCCTGATTACCTCTTGTCACTGATTTGTCTGTCTTGAAGCTGTCACGTTGATTTGAGAATCCTCTATCTCTGTCTAATCTTCTACTCTCTCTGCCCAAGCTACTCCCTTGACCTGGCAACATCCTGCCATCCTGTTGAGCACTTTCAGACCAAGCTATGTTAAAAGCTCCTTCACGCTCATCATCACAGTCTTTATCATCCATATTCCTGTGGCTACTTCTTGTTCCTCCTCCATTGCCTCTCTTATCATAACTTTTCCTCCTTAAACATTGGTCCATTCCATGATACATGTCATCAGTTTCTTCATCCATTCTCTGTTCCCTTTCAGCACGACCTCCTTCACCCATCACAAAACCATCATCCATCACATGAACCCCATCTTCATCCACATAGGCCAGCGCATACTCTTCACCTTCATTCACATATTCATCCATGTACACCTCCACATGTTCCTCTTTTTCCACATTCCAGTCTTGCTTGTTAGGAAATTCTTCTCTTGACCGTCCACGGTTATCTGTCCAGCGCGCTGAAGGTCTTCACTTGACTGACCATGGCTCTCTGTCCTGTGCTGATATTTATCTCTTGATCGTTCACGGTTATCTGTTCTGTTCTGACGTTCCTGCCTTGACCTATGACCATTATCTTTCCTTTGCTGAAGGTCTTCACTTGCCCAGCCACGATCCTCTGTCCTCTGCTGACGTTCCTTCCTTGATCGATCACTGTTATCTCTCCTCCCCTTCTTTGACTGTTCACCTTTATCTGTCCTTTGCTGAGAGGACCGACTACGGTCATCTGATTTTGCTGAAAAGCTTGCCTTTTCACTTTCTTCATCAGTTTCACACTTCATCATCGTATTTTGTTCAAGCATTCTTCTAATGTCTTGTTTGACCCATGAAATTCCCTGACGGACTAAGTCAGCATCCACATTGGCTCTCTTAGACTCATATTTTATCATGCCAGCGGACTTGTGAAACAACTGACCTAAAACCTTTTTGTCAGGCAGCCTTTGTTTACCCACTCCTTTTCCAGACTGTCCTTTATTTGATGCAACTTTTGTATATTTGTTCGTACTTCTATAGTCTGCAACCACTTTCTCAGCAACAGTTTGTGCCCTTGCTTTCATATCCTCATCTGCTTGACTCAATGTTCCTTTAACTGCAGTACTTTTTCCACCACCTGTTTCTTCATCAGAAGATATATCCAACATTTCCTCAGGGTCTTCATCATCATCACCTTCTGCTACATCACCTTCTCCTTCATCTGCTCTAAGTCTCCTTCTTACTTTGATATCAGCGTCCTCTAATCTTTCCATCATTATGTGACTCCAAAGTAGGAATTTTCGGATTGAGTCTGGAAGTGTTCTATCATATTTTGGAATACATTTCACTTTGGTTGTAAAGCTACTTTTTTTCTCAGAAGTGTTTTTGTCAAGAGATGACTTTTTGGGGTGAGCAACTTTCAATGTCTTTGTCCATTCTGGTCTCAGAGCAAGAACTGACCCAGCCTGGATTGATCTTTTCAATTCGGCATTTGTTTTATTTTCAATTACCATCTCTGGTTCACTTTGGGATTCAGGAACCTTTTCCTGTATGTTTTCCTTTTCCTGAGTTTTTATATTGCTCATGTCAGAATCAATTAAATTCTGAGCATCAAGTTCAGGGATGCTACTAGGATCTTCACTTGGCATTACTACAGACTGAGAAGCAACAGGTGGTTGTTCCATTACAAACTCTGGTGGCTGAGCACTTGCAGACTGTTGTAATGGAGCACCTGCTTGATGAGAAGTTGGTGGAACTACTGAAGGAGCAATTGAAGCAACAACTTGGTTGTGTGGGGAAGCCACTACAGAAGCTTGCTGTGATTGTGCACTTACTTGGGGCTGAAAAGGCACTTGAGAATAGCTTACAGGAGGAACTATGTATGACTGAGTACTCACTGCAGGCCTTGAAGCCACCACTACTGGTTGCCGAGTTGATGTACTTAAAATCCCAGGGACAGGTAGCTGTGGATATGCTGGTGGATATGACTGACTTCCTACAGCAGGCTGAGAAGCAGTCGAAGGCACAGGCTGAGGGGCAGCCGGAGGACAGGCGAAAGGAGAGGTTTGGGAACAGATGCTGTGGAGGGGTAGAAGGGTGTAACTTGCCCATGAAAAGGCACTGCTTGTCGTGTGGGCACCTGGGATGCTGGAAGTGGTGGATCAGACCTTACAGTAGGCTCCTGTGATGGCAATATTGGCAACTGAGGCCTCTGCACATTCTGACCAGACTGCAATGGTGCACTCAATGAAGATGTAGGCATTGTCTGCATAGATCTGTTTCCATCACTTCTCGAACCAATATCTGAAATTGTTGGTATGTGTGTCTCGGATCTTGGTAAAACTTGTCTTTGAAATTCATGATAAGCCCTTTCAAGCAAACTACTTCCAAAATTTATGTTTTGAGACCCTACAGAGTTATCCTCAACGTCTTCTGGTTCTTCTTCAGTCCTCATTTCAGTGTTTTGATGTTGATTCTTGATGTGAAGAAGAAGAAAGTCTTTCTTCATGAATGTTTTGGGGCATTTGGGGCATCTCAGGAAATTAAGTACTGATAAATGATTTTTGTCCCAGTGATCAAGGAACTCATCAACAGTGCCAGTAAATGTGCATTCTGTGCAGCTGTGGACATTTTCAGCATCTTTCTTTTGTGGAGGCTTGGTCACTTTCATGCAGGTTTCCCTGGTCACACTGCCAGGCATGACAAAGTGAATGTTGTCTCTCTCCTCTTGTCTAGCACCAAGCAGAAATGTTGACATTTCACTTCTGTCTTCAATCCCATGAAAAAAATCCAGGTGTTCACGAAGTTCATCTGCATCCACACATCCCATGGTACAGAATGAACAGATCAGATAAAGAACCTTTGCTTCATGAATCTTTGTCCAGTGACCTTTAAACTGCCCTGATTCACCTTTAAACGAACATCCAGAAACATTGCACTCATATTCAGCTACTAATGGCATGTCTGGAATGCTGTCTACTTGTGTCAAACCTGGTATCAAAGGATCTTGAGTGGACTGCCTTCTTCGCTGATACACTTCAGGTAACCTTCGTGGTTGTGCATCATCAGGCAACCTTTGTGGCTGTGCATCTTCAAGCAGCCTTCGTGGCTGAGCATCTTCAAGCAACCTTCGTGGTTGTGCATCTTCACGCAACCTTCGTGGTTCTGCATCTTCAAGCAACCTTCGTGGTTGTGCATCTTCATGCAACCTTCGTGGTTGTGCATCTTCATGCAACCTTCGTGGTTGTGCCTCATCAAGCAACCTTCGTGGCTGTGCTTCTTTAAGCAACCTTCGTGGTTGTGCATCTTCACGCAACCTTCGTGGTTGTGCATCTTCAAGCAACCTTCGTGGTTGTGCATCTTCACGCAACCTTCGTGGTTGTGCATCTTCACGCAACCTTCGTGGTTGTGCATCTTCAAGCAACCTTCGTGGTTGTGCATCTTCACGCAACCTTCGTGGTTGTGCATCTTCAAGCAACCTTCGTGGTTGTGCATCTTCAAGCAACCTTCGTGGTTGTGCATCTTCAAGCAACCTTCGTGGTTGTGCATCTTCAAGCAACCTTCGTGGTTGTGCATCTTCAAGCAACCTTCTTGGCTCTGTAGCTTCTGGTGGATCATTACCTTGATTTAGTGATTCAGGCCATTTTTGTTGTTGGACAGTTTCATGGGGTCTTTGTTCCCTCCAAGATGGAAAGATTTCAGATGGCAGGTTCTGAAGGAACAAAATTGAAGTGAATAAAGCTGCAGTTTGCTCATGGAAAGTTCTGTTTTTAATCAAAATTGGCCACACTAATGTAGATGCATTTTAAAAGCCCACAAAAATCTATAAAATATGAGCAAAAGCATTTATGGACTGACTTATGTATATTTATCGAGACAAAGCCGTATGAATTGAAAATCTGATGACAAACAGACAACAAACTGTATGAAACTGTAAGGCAGATGCTTAAAAACATCTGCGCATCAGGTTTTGATTCATACTTTATGAACCGAAAAGAAATACACTATCAATCCCAAAAAGTAAATTTGACAACAAGTACATATGGTATTTAAGATTGTTTAATCAAAAACTGTTTTAATCAAAGCAGACAAAAATTATCAGGTGATATACATTCCAGAAGGAAGAATACATACTATCGTGCAGGGATGACAACAGGAAAATCTATTTTCAGTGGAAAACGTAATATTTTGTCATGGAAATAAATCTGCGGAAAATTGCCACCACTGTATTGTTTGATGTGAATCATGCGATTGTCCAATTTTTTGTTTAGTTTATGCTCAGAACTTATGCCCAAAAGGTCTGCAGGCAATCAACAGAGAGTAGAATCAAAACAAAAAAGACACCATTGTAATATAATGCTATTTAGAAATGAAACCTGAAGAAATGTAATTTGTGTTACCCAGGCAAGGGAATAAAAAGTGAGCAAACCTACAGTCTCTGCACACATATCGGTTCCCTACTTCTTGGATATAACATAAAAATGTCTGTGGATGATATGGAAAAGCAGAAAGGCATTACCTGGTATGTGAGTGTGACATCTCTACAACTTATTGCCCTTCTCATCTCTCACAACACAACAGTGTTATTTCTTTCCAAGATGAAGCCTTTCTCTCTTCTCTTACATTTCCAATATGATATCTCTCTGAGATGCAACCTCCTTGATTCTCTCACAACACAACCGTGTGATGTCTCTCTAAGATGCTACCACCCTCTTCTCTAACAACACAGCAGCGTAATGTCTCTCTGAGATGCTGCCTCCTTCTTCTCTAACAACACAGCAGCGTAATGTCTCTCTGAGATGCTGCCTCCTTCTCTCACAACACAGCAGTGTAATGTCTCTCTGAGATGCTGCCTCCTTCTTCTCTAACAACACAGCAGCGTAATGTCTCTCTGAGATGCTGCCTCCTTCTTCTCTCACAACACAGCAGCGTAATGTCTCTCTGAGATGCTGCCTCCTTCTTCTCTCACAACACAACAGTGTGATGTCTCTCTGAGATGCTGCCTCCTTCTTCTCTCACAACACAACAGTGTGATGTTTCTCTGAGATGCTACCTCCCTCTTCTCTCACAACACAGCAGCGTGATGTCTCTCTGAGATGCTGCCTCCTTCTCTCACAACACAGCAGCGTGATGTCTCTCTGAGATGCTGCCTCCTTCTTCTCTCACAACACAGCAGTGTGATGTCTCTCTGAGATGCTGCCTCCCTCTTCTCTCACAACACAGCAGCGTGATGTCTCTCTGAGATGCTGCCTCCATCTTGTCTCACAACACAGCAGCATGATGTCTCTCTGAGATGCTGCCTCCTTGATTCTCTCACAACACAGCAGTGTGATGTCTCTCTGAGATGCTACCTCTTTCTTCTCTAACAACACAACAGTGTGATGTCTCTCTAAGATGCTACCTCATTCTTCTCTCACAACACAACAGTGTGATGTCTCTCCAAGATATTGCCTCCTTCTCTCCCAAGGCCAGTGTGATGTCTCTCTGAGATACTGCCTCCTTCCTCTCTCACAACACAAGTCTGGCGTCTCTGAAATGCTGCCTCTTTCTTCTCTCACAACACAACAGTGTGATGTCTCTCTAAGATGCTACCTCATTCTTCTCTCACAACACTGCAGTGTGATGTCTCTCTAAGTCGCTACCACCTTCTTCTCTCACAACACAACAGTGTAATGTCTCTCTAAGTCGCTACCACCTTCTTCTCTCACAAGGCAAGTGTGATGTCTCTCAGAGATGCTAGCTCCTTCTTCTCTCAAAACAACAGTGTCATGTCTCTCCAACATGCTGCCTCCCTCTTCTCTCACAAAACAACAGTGTAATGTCTTTTTAAGACGCTACCTCCTTCTCTCACAACACAACAGTGTAATGTCTCTCTAAGTCGCTACCACCTTCTTCTCTCACAACACAACAGTGTAATGTCTCTCTAAGTCGCTACCACCTTCTTCTCTCACAAGGCAAGTGTGATGTCTCTCAGAGATGCTAGCTCCTTCTTCTCTCAAAACAACAGTGTCATGTCTCTCCAACATGCTGCCTCCCTCTTCTCTCACAACATAACAGTGTAATGTCTCTCTAAGACGCTACCTCCTTCTCCTCTCACAACACAACAGTGTAATGCCTCTCTAAGTTGCTACCACCTTCTTCTCTCACAAGGCAAGTGTGATGTCTCTCAGAGATGCTAGCTCCTTCTTCTCTCAAAACAACAGTGTCATGTCTCTCCAACATGCTGCCTCCCTCTTCTCTCACAAAACAACAGTGTAATGTCTTTTTAAGACGCTACCTCCTTCTCTCACAACACAACAGTGTAATGTCTCTCTAAGTCGCTACCACCTTCTTCTCTCACAAGGCCAGTGTGATGTCTCTCCTAGATGCAAGCTCTTTCGTCTCTCACAACACAAGAATGTGATGTCATTCTGAAATGCTACCTCGCTCTTCTCTCACAACACTACATCTCTCTGAGATGCTGATTGTCTCTTCTCTCACAACACAACAGTGTTATGTCTTTCCAAGATGCTGCCTTTCTCTCTTCTCTTACATTTCCAATATGATGTCTCTCTGAGATGCTGCCTCCGTCTTCTCTCACAACACAACAGTATGATGTCACCCTGAGATTCTGCGTCCCTCTTCTCTCACAACACTACATCTCTCCGAGATGCTGATTGTCTCTACTCTCACAAGGCCAGTGTGATGTCTCTTCATAATGCTGAATCTCTCTTCCCATGAGGACAAGTGTGATGTCTTCCCAAGATGCTACCTCTTTTTACAAAAGAAAGGCACCAGTGTGAAGTCTCAACAGAATACTGCCTCTCTTTTATCTATTGAGGCCCAAGTGTGATGATATCTCATATCTCAAGGAGGCTTGGTGTAGAGGACTGTGGTCCCTGCATCACATATCCTGACAGGAGGCTTGGTGTAGAGGACTGTGGTCCCTGCATCACATATCCTGACAGGAGGCTTGGTGTAGAGGACTGTGGTACCTGCATCACATATCCTGACAGGAGGCTTGGTGTAGAGGACTGTGGTCCCTGCATCACATATCCTGACAGGAGGCTTGTGGTACCTGCATCACATATCCTGACAGGAGGCTTGGTGTAAAAGGACTGTGGTCCCTGCATCACATATCCTGACAGGAGGCTTGGTGTAGAGGACTGTGGTCCCTGCATCACATATCCTGACAGGAGGCTTGGTGTAGGGGACTGTGGTACCTGCATCACATATCCTTACAGGAGGCTTGGTGAAAAGGACTGTGGTCCCTGAACCACATATCCTGACAGGAGGCTTGGTGTAGAGGACTGTGGTCCCTGAATCACATATCCTGACAGGAGGCTTGGTGTAGAGGACTGTGGTACCTGCATCACATACAGGAGGCCTGACAGGAGTCCCTGCATCACATATCCTGACAGGAGGCTTGGTGTAGAGGACTGTGGTCCCTGCATCACATATCCTGACAGGAGGCTTGGTGTAGAGGACTGTGGTACCTGCATCACATATCCTGACAGGAGGCTTGGTGTAGAGGACTGTGGTACCTGCATCACATATCCTGACAGGAGGCTTGGTGTAGAGGACTGTGGTCCCTGATCCTGACAGGAGGTGTAAGAAAGGACTGTGGTACCTGCATCACATATCCTGACAGGAGGCTTGGTGATCCTGAAGAGGACTGTGGTCCCTGAACATCACATATCCTGACAGGAGGCTTGGTGTAGAGGACTGTGGTCCCTGAATCACATATCCTGACAGGAGGCTTGGTGTAGAGGACTGTGGAGGACCTGCATCACATATCCTGACAGGAGGCTTGGTGTAGAGGACTGTGGTCCCTGCATCACATATCCTGACAGGAGGCTTGGTGTAGAGGACTGTGGTCCCTGCATCACATATCCTGACAGGAGGCTTGGTGTAGAGGACTGTGGTACCTGCATCACATATCCTGACAGGAGGCTTGGTGTAGAGGACTGTGGTCCCTGCATCACATATCCTGACAGGAGGCTTGGTGTAGAGGACTGTGGTACCTGCATCACATATCCTGACAGGAGGCTTGGTGTAGAGGACTGTGGTCCCCTGCATCACATATCCTGACAAGAGGCTTGGTGTAGAGGACTGTGGTCCCTGCATCACATATCCTGACAGGAGGCTTGGTGTAGAGGACTGTGGTACCTGCATCACATATCCTGACAGGAGGCTTGGTGTAGAGGACTGTGGTACCTGCATCACATATCCTGACAGGAGGCTTGGTGTAGAGGACTGTGGTACCTGCATCACATATCCTGACAGGAGGCTTGGTGTAGAGGACTGTGGTACCTGCATCACATATCCTGACAGGAGGCTTGGGTGTAGAGGACTGTGGTACCTGCATCACATATCCTGACAGGAGGCTTGGTGTAGAGGACTGTGGTACCTGCATCACATATCCTGACAGGAGGCTTGGTGTAGAGGACTGTGGTACCTGCATCACATATCCTGACAGGAGGCTTGGTGTAGAGGACTGTGGTCCCTGCATCACATATCCTGACAGGAGGCTTGGTGTAGAGGACTGTGGTCCCTGCATCACATATCCTGACAGGAGGCTTGGTGTAGAGGACTGTGGTACCTGCATCACATATCCTGACAGGAGGCTTGGTGTAGAGGACTGTGGTCCCTGAATCACATATCCTGACAGGAGGCTTGGTGTAGAGGACTGTGGTCCCTGCATCACATATCCTGACAGGAGGCTTGGTGTAGAGGACTGTGGTACCTGCATCACATATCCTGACAGGAGGCTTGGTGTATCCCTGACAGGAGGACTGTGGTCCCTGCATCACATATCCTGACAGGAGGCTTGGAGTAGAGGACTGTGGTCCCTGAATCACATATCCTGACAGGAGGATTGGTGTAGAGGACTGGTCCCTGTATCACATATCCTTACAGGAGGCTTGGTGTAGAGGACAGTGGTCCCTGCATCACATATCCTGACAGGAGGCTTGGTGTAGAGGACTGTGGTCCCTGCATCACATATCCTGACAGGAGGCTTGGTGTAGAGGACTGTGGTACCTGCATCACATATCCTGACAGGAGGCTTGGTGTAGAGGACTGGTCCCTGCATCACATATCCTGACAGGAGGCTTGGTGTAGAGGACTGTGGTACCTGCATCACATATCCTGACAGGAGGCTTGGTGTAGAGGACTGTGGTAGCTGCATCACACATCCTGACAGGAGGCTTCGTGTAGGGGACTGTTGTCCCTGAATTACATATCCTGACAGGAGGCCTTGGCAACCATGTTCACCATATCACATACTCTCATTGGAGGCTTGGTGTAGGATATATTGTTCACCAAAGTACACATCCGGATATGTTCCCTTCACTGAAGAGGCTTGGCATTTGGGACAACATTTACCAGATCACATAGCTCCATATGTGCCTTACCTTAAGAGGCTTGGTGTAGGGACAATATTCACAAGATCACATACCCCTATACATTCCTTACCTCATGATGCTTGGCGTAGGTTACTTCGACCTCCTTATCATCAATAACATGTGGCTTGTCTAATACTGCTTTCTCTGCATCACCAAGTTTTTTCAAATATCACAAATGCACAGCCAGTTGGTCTGAAAAAAGAGAGTGAGAGCATAAATGTTTGAAGCTTTTGGACCAGTTTAGAGATTATTATTATGAACAATGATCATCACTTTTGCCTACGATCATCCAGAGCCCTACCATCAGATTCATTTGGCCATGTTCAGATCAGGTTGCAAGGAATCAATTCTAACTTGAAATATTATTGCCACACTCAGCAATATTTCAGCTATATAAGGTCTGGCTTTTGTTCCCCAATTTACTCGGGTGTTAAACCATTTATGTCAAGTGATTTCAATATGGTTAATTCAGTGGGTTGGCATTTCGGTACAAAGCAGACTCTTACATGTCCGGAAGTAATTCAGACAGCGACAATCTTTCCATTCAATCTTCAATGAAGAAACAATCGCTTCCGTGGAAGAAATCGTTATGTTGCAAGTTGTGTCATGCAAAATCATTTTGGACTGACTGACTGACTGACTGACTGACTGAGTTTAGTTTTACGCCGCTTTTAGCAATATTCCAGCAATATCACGGCGGGGGACACCAGAAATGGGCTTAACACATTGTGCCCATGTGGGGAAATCATTTTGGACATGATTCAAATACATATTTAACTACGAGTAGAAAGTAGTTTGATTTTCTGACTTGATGAATACAAACCACAATGTCATTTATTCTCAAACTGTCTTTACCATGTGAGGTAAGATTTTTCAAAAATGGCGGCGCCCTGTCGCGAACATCCGACAGTCTGAGAATAAATGCTATTTAGGTTTGTTTTCACCAAGTTAGAAAATCAAAACTACTTTGTACTGGCAGTAAAATATGTATTTGATTGATGGCCAATAGGATTTTGTATTACATAGCTTATAACATAACAATTGCTCTCTGGGAAACGAGGTGGGTGTCAATATAATACTACTTACAATATTATTGTCACTTCGACAACAACCTCACTTCCTTGGAAGAATTCATTATATTACAAGTTGTGTCATGCAAAATCCATTTGGTCATCAATCATATACATATTTTACTACAACTGGTAAGTAGTTTTTGATTTTTTTTACTTGATGAAAACGTTGAGAAATCAGCAAAATGACGAGCTTATAACACACCTCATATACAACTGACTGAAAATCCTTCCTCACATTACGTCACTTCTGGTTCGCTGCAGTGCTCTGACGACAGAGTTATGTAACCTGTCTGTGGTTTCGTTGGTGGTCGAGAGTGAAGCAGACAGCTTTTTGGCAACTTTTAATCGCTCGGTGTTAATTAACCACAAGTTTATTAAGAAAGAATTTGGTGTTCCGCTTAAGATTAACCGCAAGTGCTTCATATGTAAAGGTTAAAACTGTACAAAAAAACAAAGTTCATTCGTTTTTTAACTGCGGTATGGTATCTCAGTGATCTACCACTATAAAACCAGTTTAAGTCTGGGCTAGTACAAGCAGCCAGACATACACACGCATGCACATGGTCATATGAGCAAAATAATCTTACATGCGACGTTAAACCCCATTTCACCTCACCTCACCTTTAGAGATTAAACCATCGACTATGGGAAACTGATGACAGATCAAAGATCACAATCAATACAATCTGGGATTTAAACCCAGCATATACTGGCAGGAGTAAGGGACACAACTAACCTTAATCTCACATCCTTCACCACCTCAAAGTCCTCAACTCTTCCCCATCTGGAGAAGTAGCACATCAGCTTGTAACCAGGGGTGTGCACTGCCAGCCCCAATATTTTCAGCGTCCGATTGGGAAGCTGAGCATTTTGGTGAACCTAGATGTCAAAAAGTGAATTGATGGATATAATTACATTACATTTTGTATATTCACGTGTGTCAAATCGAGGTCATGTGAATATGTTTACCACTTTACCAGATCTTAAAAACATGTGAGCACATATACAATGTCTCAAGAATCATCACAAGGAAAAGTCTGGGATAAGACAAGAATCACGCTGTGGTATCAAGGACAGAAGTGAGTATGGTTTAACGCCACTTTTTCCAGCAATATCATCTCTGAGGACACCAGAATTGGGCTTCACACATAGTATGCATGTGGAGAATCGAACCCAGGTCATTAGCTAGCCACCACCCCCTATTGAAATATGAACTTTCCCTGTCTGTTGGAAATAATGTTACTGAATATACTTCCTTTTGTCTACTGTTGACAATAAGTATTGAATATACAAGAAAGGAAATATGAAAGGAAAGTCTAAGTGACTCACAGGAAAGGCAGGTCTGACAGGAACGGCAGGTCTGACAGGAAAGGCAGATCTGACAGGAACGGCAGGTCTGACAGGAAAGGCAGATCTGACAGGAACGGCAGATCTGACAGGTCTGACAGGAACGGCAGGTCTGACGGGAACGGCAGGTCTGACAAGAATGGCGGCTCTTGGAATAAAAGGTGTTGGATATCCTGCAGGTTGAGTAGGAGCAACAGAGTTTGGTGATTCGTAGGCTGTACATAAAACAAGAAGCATGAATGTATCTGTGTATATTCGTTAATATTGTAATATGACAATGATTTGTTAAACAGCAACCATACAGCAACATCACTTCTATATGACAGCAACATTACACCAATATCACCGTTGTATAACTGCCACATTACAACAATGTCACAGCTATTTAACTGCCATATTACAGTAATATATTACATCAATGCCACAGTTGTATAACTGCCACATTACAGTAATGTCACAGCTGCACAAAAAGCAGGAATGTTACAGCTGTACAACTGCCACATTACAGTAATATCACAGCTGCATAACTGCCATATAACAACAATATTACAGCTGTATAACTGCAACTTTACAGTAGTATCGCAGCTATATAACTGCCACATTACAACAATGTCACAGCTGTACAACTGCCACATTACAGCAATGTCAGTTGTATAACTGCCACAATACAGTAATATATTACAGCAATGTCACAGTTGTATAACTGCCACATTACAGTAATATACAGTCAGGCCGCGGTAATCCGGTCCTCGTTAATCCAAATCCACCGACTTCCGAACACTACTCACTGGGCACCAAATCATCTCCCTATATATTGTATATAATTGACACCTCGTTAGTCCGATGATTCAGTTTCCGCCTCCGAATGCTGGTCAGTCGGAACGGATTGGACTAATTAAGTTGTAAACAGCTGCGTTAATCCGAACGATTGAAGTTGACCACGCCGCTGACTGGTCCACCCAAAGTGACACATTGTTCGTTTAGCGACTTAGCGACTCATCCCTTTGATCCCTTTATCATAAGTGATAGGGAAATTTCAACGACCATGCTGTTTTGGGAAAGACTTCAATCCAGAAATCTATGCTAGGTACCGTTTTAACACGAAGGCGTGGATGACCTCTGACATGTTCTGTGATTGGCTGAGAGCTTTTGATAGACAGTGTAGGTCACGTGGCCGTTGCGTCACTTGATGCTGGTATTATTCAGACATTCAAAGCTTATTACAATAGATAATTAGTGAGACATTTCATCGCATGTGCTGAGTGAGTGAGTGAGTTGAGTTTTACGCCGCACTCAGCAATATTCCAGCTATATGGCGGCGGTCTGTAAATAATCGAGTCTGGACCAGACAATCCAGTGATCAACAGCATGAGCATCGATATGCGCAATGGGGAACCGATGACATGTGTCAACCAAGTCAGCGAGCCTGACCACCCGATCCCGTTAGTCGCCTTTTACGACAAGCATAGTCGCCTTTTATAGCAAGCATGGGTTGCTGAAGGGCTATTCTAATAGACCCGGACCTTCACGGGTCCGCATGTGCTGAAGACGACAAACCCCAGTGTATAAACTTAAGAGGAACCTTGCGATTTATGAAATCTGCATGGGCAGATGTTTCCTGTCAGACGATCAAGAACTGTTTCAAGCTTGTGGAAAGTCTGCCAAGTCAAGAATCCCAGATTGGTGAAAAAACAACCTTTTCAGCAGCCCACCATTAAAGACTACTTTTGTAAGTAAAATGTGTGAGTGAAACAATGTGTAATAAATCAGTGATTGTCTTTGATGTTTTGTTTTGATTTCTTCACATATCGATAGTAGGGAAAGATATCAAGGGGAAGTAACTCGGTGCATATACTGTGGTTTCAGTAGTACGAACGTTTCACTATCCCAATGGGTTTTTTTAAAAAACCAAAGTGTTCGTATTAACGAGGTCTGACTGTATTACAGCAATGTCACAATTGTATAACTGCCACATTACAGCAATGTCACAGCTGTATAACTGCCACATTACAGTAATATATTACAGCAATGTCACAGCTGTATAACTGCCACATTACAGTAATATATTACAGCAATGTCACAGCTGTATAACTGCCACATTACAGTAATATATTACAGCAATGTCACAGCTGTATAACTGCCACATTACAGTAATATATTACAGCAATGTCACAGCTGTATAACTGCCACATTACAGTAATATATTACAGCAATGTCACAGCTGTATAACTGCCACATTACAGCAATGTCACAGCTGTATAACTGCCACATTACAGTAATATATTACAGCAATGTCACAGTTGTATAACTGCCACATTACAGTAATATATTACAGCAATGTCACAGCTGTAAAACTGCCACATTACAGCAATGTCACAGTTGTATAACTGCCACATTACAGCAATGTCACAGTTGTATAACTGCCACATTACAGTAATATATTACAGCAATTTCACAGTTGTATAACTGCCACATTACAGCAATATATTACAGTAATGTCACAGCTGCACACAAAGCAGTAATGTCACAGCTGTACAACTGCCACATTACAGTAATGTCACAGTTGCATAACTGCCACATTACAACAATATCACAGTTGCATAACTGCCATGCTACGGTAATATCACAGCAGCATAACTGCCACATTGCAGCAATGTCAGAGCTGTGTTACAGCCACAGTACAGCAATATATTACAACAAAATTGCAATTTCACTGCAATATATCAGCAATTACAGCAATATCATCTAAACATCCCAGCAAAACTTCAACAATATTTCACAGCAATATTCCGAGATATATAACATCAATAGCACTGCAGCATCACAGTCTACACAATGCCTTTCAGAAAGTGATCAAATGCAACATACAGTGTATTTGGGATTACACTTTCCCAGTAAAGTACAGATTCTTGTACGGTTTGAGGTTGAGCCCCAACTGGGATTCAAACCTGCACTGTCAGAGTCAGGCACCTGATCACCAGCATACAAGTCAGTGATCTACCCCATTCAGCATCTTGTGTTTGGTTCACAGTGAAAAAGACTTCTGCTGAAAAGTCTGAAGATAATTTTTGCGTGATTGCAGCCAAAATAAGAAAAATAAATTTCTGGCAATAACGCAAGAGATGGAGAGAATTTGTACGGGTTATGGGTTTCTGGAGTGCCCAAGGGAGGCTCAGAGAACAGCACTGCTTTAGATGACTAAGGCAACAGTTATTGATAACACCAGCAATGATCCACAGTCAGTTGACCCAATCCAGGGTCAGTAGGGGACCAAATACCAGTCTTCACAACTTTAGACATTTTAAGTCACAATTTAACAAAAATCAGATGTTACTTCTCATTATCACTACAAAAAGTATTTGAGGAATGTCACGTTACACAACATTCCAAATGACAGAGGGATAAGCATCTAAAACGGCAGACTTTCCATAGCCCATGGGAATTACATGTACTGTCCTACAATATCCAGAAAGCCGCTTTCTGATTGTCTAAAATCAATTTCCTCTGGGTCATTTCATTGATCAGACAAAGTTTATGACAGGTTGTGCTGAAATGAGATGTTATTGAAGCTGTAGTGATCAACAACATATGAGTTTAATTAGATTTTTGTCTGTCCCCAAATACTCAGTGATATCTATGAAAAACACAAACTCTATTCTCTTACCTTTCATTAGTTCCATCCCCTGCAATAAATTAGAAACATCATGATCATTAACCAAATTTATATGAATTATTGAACAGAACACTATTAGGAGAATTAAAGTAATCATGTTTACATAAACTGCTGAATTCACATTTTTTTACGCTACATTAAATTGCTGTATCGGTGCGACATATATCAATGTTATTTGCTACTGGAATATAAACTTTCTTTTGTTTACTTTAACATTGAATACTGAACATACAAGAAAGAAAAGGGGAAAGAAAAGATTAAGAGACTGACAGGATAGGCAGGTCCTGCAATTCCTGCAGGTGTGGTAAGTACAATGAAACCAATAAAGTTAGTTGACAATCAGATCCTGGTTGTCAGGGGACATAACTCTACACAACTGACTTGACAATCAGATCCTGGTAGTCAAGGAACACAACTCTACACAACTGACTTGACAATCAGATCCTGGTAGTCAGGGGACAGAACTCTACACAACTGACTTGACAATCAGATCCTGGTAGTCAGGGGACATAACTCTACACAACTGACTTGACAATCAGATCCTGGTAGTCAGGGGACATAACGCTACACAACTGACTTGACAATCAGATCCTGGTAGACAGGGGACATACTGTCTGTTTGGGTTCAAATGAGAACGATGAATGATTAATTAACTCGAAATATGGATAAAAGCACAAACCATAAATAAGACACATGGTCCTGAAACCTCTGTACCCAACAGGACTGACTGACTGACTGAGTTTGGTTTTACGCCGCTTTTAGCAATATTCCAGCAATATCACGGCGGGGAACACCAGAAATGGGCTTAACACATTGTGCCCATGTGGGGAATCGAATAAATAAGACGACAATGCTTTAACCACTAGGCTACCCCACCGCCCCGTACCCAACAGGAGCTGAAATCTGACGTTTTATGATCGATCACAGAAAAAGTTGTTTAAGAAACTATCATGTAATATTGTTCTATTTTCAAGCTTCACACCAAGGGGTGACAAATGGCTGGTGAAACAGCGCTGACACACAGTTCAGGTGCAACTCAGCACAGCCAGGTTTGACTGCCAACATGCGATACTCAGCCAATGTTAAACAGTTTTATTGTGAAAGTGTATGATTATTCATCGCTCTAATTTGAACCCAAAAGGACTGTAACTATCCAGTACCAACTACACACAGTTGACATTCTGGTCCTGGTAGAAAGGGGACATAACTCTACACAACAGAGTTGACAATCTCGTCCTGGTAGTAAGGGGACATAACTCTACACAACTGAGTTGAGAATCTGATCCTGGTAGTCAAGGGATATAACTCTGTACAAGATGCTGAACCCTCATGAATATGTTAAATTTAACTTGAACCACACAAATAGAATTATCTGATCAATCAAATCCTGTTCACTTTCATGAATTTGTCACAAGAAAATGTCCCGTAGCATACATTCCTACACGCAAGTGTGTTAATGTAGGGAACTGAACCCAGGTCATTGGTGTCATGAGCAAACGCTTGAACCACTAGGCTACCCAACCATCCAATAACAAATATCAACTTTTGATTGTCAGATGGTTATAATGGTGACCTTCCTTTCGTCTACTGCTATGACAACTTTGAATGGAATCACAAACCTAGAATTGGTGACAAAAAAGACCAAGTGACTTACAGGATAGGCAGGTCTGGCGAGACCAACATCTCTGGCGGGACCAGCGTGTCTGGGAGGACTGGGGGGTCTGTTGTGTCTGGGAGGACTGGGGGGTCTGGCAGGTCTGTGAGGACCGGCAGGTTTTGCGAGACCGACATCTCTGGCAGGTCCAGCGTGTCTGGGAGGACTGGCACGTCTGTCCTGTCTGGGAGGACTGGCAGGTCTGGCAGGTCTGGGAGGACTGGCATGTCCATGAGGATCGGCAGGTCTGGCTGGACTGGCTGATTTTGTGGCCTGAGCATCAGATGTTTGCAAATCGGAACCTGTTCACACAACAAGAAGCATGAACATATCTGTGAGGAAAATTTGTTAACATCATGTTATCACAGATATATCCCTGCCACAATATACTTTCTCACAGCAACATCAGACCAACAGTAAAGCAATGATGCAGCAGTATAGCTGTAAAACAGCAACATTAAAGCATCGTCAAAGCTGTGTAACAGCCACAATATATACTGAACATCATTGAAAACGCACCACCAGTAAATTTTGAACTATGGTAATACGATTGTTTTGCGAGTGAAAATGAATGTTGGAAATGTTGTTAATAACACAAAAGACAATAAATAATGCTGTACAGTAAAGAACGGGTTGCCCGAACACATCATGGAACACATCACATAACAACAACAAACTTCATGCACAACACACACGAAAAGCACAAATTGCATGCTTAAAACATGCTGATTAGGTGTATAAATGACTGTCTGCAAAGAAACGTTATCATTTCAGCTGTACCTCCGCAAGTAAAGTTTATTTTGCAATGCCAAGATTGTCACTAGAGGAACGAGAACGGGCGTTGGGCATGTTGCAGGTTGGCACATCAAGCAGGATTATTGCTAGACCATTTGGTTGCCATCATTCCACCATCATAAGACTTGCCAACAGGTACCAACGTACAGGAACCACCAGGGACCGCCAACGTCCTGGCCAGGCACGTGTTACCACCACTCGTCAAGATCAAGATTTTGTTCGGCACCATATTCGGGATCATACGTTGCCGACTGCCAGAACCTGCTGTCCAAGGCCAACGTGGTTTGATCAGTGTTTCCACCATCCGACGCCGTCTCTGTGTGGCAGGATTACGGTGTCGACGCCCTTATGTTGGACCCATCCTGACTGATAGACATCGCCGTGAATGCCGACAATGGGCTGAACAGCATCGTTTGTGGTTGTTACGATGTTGGCATGGTGATGTGTTCTCCGACGAGTCACGTTTTCCCTTGCGAAATGCTGACGGGGCGTCTACGGGTATGGAGTCGACGGGGAGAACGTTACCATCAGGACTGTGTTGTGCAAACAGATCGGTGGGGTGGAGCATTATGGTGTGGGGAGGGATCAGTTATCATCACAAAACCGCTCTGGTAGTTTGTCATGGCAGAGTGAATGCCCTTTACTACCGTGACATCATTCTTCAGAAAAACGTTGTTCCCTTCTTTAAAGGGCCACTGATCCAGAGCCATTTCCGTAGACTGGTTGTTGCTTTTGTTATTGTTTTTCTCCAGTGAGTACCCGGATGATATCCCAGAATTCATAACTGGTTCGTTACCTCTGCAGCGCCACCCTCATCCGCAATTGATAGTATAAGTATAGACTGATCAACAAAGATGAAATCTTTTTACTCGATAATCTTATGTTGATTTTGTTGTAAAATTATGTAGACTTTGATGAATAAATATTCACTTTGATGAAAATGCTGATTTTGATGTAACATTTTGATTTCATAGTAATGTTGACTTTATAAAAATGTCAACGTAAATGGATGTAGAATTTGATTTAAGAAATAGTTTGACCTTGAATTTGGTGAGAAGCCTGATATAATAGCATTGTTTTGAAAGTAAGGATAACTAAGTACATGGGAAGTCTTGGGGAGAGTAGTGAGCTTATGTTCAATACTAGTCAATCTGAATGTTGTATTAAATGGCATTATTTTTATAACAAATGAAAACATTTTAAGCGAGTGAGTTTAGTTTTACGCCGCTTTTAGCAATATTCCAGCCATATAACGGCAGGGGACACCAGAAATGGGCTTCACATATTGTACCCATGTGGGGAAACATTTTAAGTTTAACCATCTGCCAGTGGTAAAAAAATGTTAGGACTGAAATAACGAAGTCAATGTACGTCTTTATATTTTGTCTTATAATCCTAATTAGTTCACTATCATATTTGTATGCATTTTGAAACTTATAGAATGCTTATACTTAGTGAATTTATAATATGATTGTAACATTTAAACATTTTATAGATTGCCAACGTGTATCATATTTCACACACATGCCCTGAGTGCGACCTTGTGTATGTTGTCTGTCTCGTTACACTTCAGGGCCCCCTCAAATATTAAAATTAAAACAGACTAAAGTTATACCAACAATATCAGGCTATTACCTTGGGGTAGCCGAGTGGTTAAAGCGTTGGCTCGTCACGCCGAAGACCCTGGTTCGAATCCCTACATGGGTACAATGTGTGAAGCCCATTTCCCAGCCGTGATGTTGCTGGAATATTGCTAAAAGCGGCGTAAAACCAAACTCAGTCAGTCAGTCAGTATTACCTTGTTCGGGGAGTGTCCATCAATATCCACATAAAGGAATGAGATGCCATTCATCTGCAGCTGACAAAGTATCCTGTTCCATGCCCTGTCTTTTAACATTCTAATATGCGAAAAAGTGATCTATCGTTTCAGTTTTTTTTTCACATTGGTGTATAGTCCCATTGGTCACCCAAGATAGCACACCTGGCAACTAATTGCATGATGTCCGTCATTCTTTAAAAAAGTAATTTAGTTAGCCAATAATGAGCAATTAATCAAAGTATTGGCGGTTAATCCTTCGAAGGAAGGACGTTGTTTTTACACAGGCACTTTACAACATGTAAAGGGTCCGACACTGTTTTGAGGATACGAACGGAACTTCATTGTTACATAAGAGATATATACAGTATAAGCATTTGCTGTGTACTTAGTTAAAAACTGTATGTAAAATTTCAGATTTATTTTGCATGGTCGAGGGAGCAGGGGCTGACCAGTTTGCAGCTAGGTTTCATAATTAGACTGTTGGCGAGAAACATTAATTGCTCTGGATCAGTGGCCCTTTAACCAACATCAAGATCTGCACACATTCCAGCAGGACAATGCTTGAGCGCACACTGCACATGTTGCAACACAGTTTCTGGCAAACAACAACATTCCTCTACTGCCATGGGCTGCATTGTCACCCGATTTGTCTCCCATTCAACACTTGTTGGATTACATCAGCCAACGCCTCTCACGTCGCCCACAGATCAACAACCTTGGGGAACTTGAGAATGCCTTGTAACAAGAGTGGAATGCATTGCTTCAAGACATTATTCACAGACATATCAGCTCAATGAGGAGACGTTGCACAGCTTGTGTTGCTGCTAACGCTGGTCATACACGGTTACTGACTCCATCTTTCTTTCATGTTCAGCTGAATTAAAATTTCACTGTTTTGCAGGATCGGTTCCTGTTTCTTTTCTTTACCAATCATTGGACTACAAAAGTATGTAAAATTTACACCGATTGCTCATTTATGCTCTTGGAAATCCAAACTAATACAGGTGGTGCGTTTTCAATGATGTTCAGTATATCACAATATATTACAGTAAGATCGCAGCTGTATAACTGCCACATTACAGCAAGGTCACAGCTGTATAAATGCCACATTACAGCAAGGTCACAGCTGTACAACTGCCACATTACAGTAATGTCAGCTGTATAACTGCCACATTACAGTAATGTCACAGCTGTATAACTGCCACATTACAGCAAGGTCACAGCTGTACAACTGCCACATTACAGTAATGTCAGCTGTATAACTGCCACATTACAGTAATGTCACAGCTGTATAACTGCCACATTACAGCAAGGTCACAGCTGTACAACTGCCACATTACAGTAATGTCACAGCTGTATAACTGCCACATTACAGTAACGTCACAGCTGTGTAACTGCCACATTACAGCAAGGTCACAGCTGTATAAATGCCACATTACAGCAAAGGTCACAGCTGTATAAATGCCACATTTCAGCAAGGTCACAGCAATATTGCAACATAAGTGCAATGTTACATCAAAGTATTAGCAATTACACTGCAACAAATTGAACAATATTTCACAGCGGTATTTCTAAAACATATCACATCAGAAGCACTAGTGGTATGTAGATGACAGTGTCTGCTGAAAATCCTGAAGATTAGTTTTGTGTGAGTAGAGCCAAAAGGGAGAAAATATTTATGTCAATAATGCAAGAGCTGGAGTGAACTTGTACAAGTTATACGTTTCTGGCATGCCCAAGGGAGAAAACTCTGCCAAGAAAATAGCAGTGCTTAAGATGACAAGTATTATTTGTTCAATATAGGAGTACTGGAAAACCTTAAGAGTACATTTAGAGTACTGAATGGAAATTAATGGAGCATCAGTAAACTTGTGTTTCGATTCATATATGCACCACAACATTGCTAATCTTGTGTACACAGCTCAATGAACAATAAAAAAATACTTTTTCAGATATATACATCGGTAAATGATTCTAAAACTGTACACCATTGCTGTGGTGCGTATCTGCTACGTTTTCTAAATTATTTCCTACCGTATCGTGCATATTTATTTATCTGTACATACGCCGATACGGCCTTATCTAGAGCCCTGCCATAGCCCATAGCAATTACATGTACTGTCCTACAATGTTCAGAAAGCTGCTTTCTGATTGGCTAATATCAACTTCCTGTTGATCAATAAACAGACAAAGTACATGACAGGTCGGCCTGAAATTGGATGTTGCCGCAGCTATAGTGAGCAATAACATATTTTTGTCTGGCCCCAAATACTCAGAGATATCAAAATGAAAATAACCCAAAATATAATTCTCTTACCTTTTGTATCTTCTCCACCCTGAAATAAAGAGTCATAAAACATAAAAATGGATTCAAATTATGTCCTTTATCTTTCAAGCTGTCATTTTGTAATACCTATTTTAAATTATATCATATTATGCTCACAAAGGAATAAAGATTACCATATATTAACATAGATAAGCCGATGACATAAACGAAGTTGTGGTCTTAACTTGACCCTTAAAATCAGTATCAAAATGGTTTGTTCTGCAGGTAAGCCAACCCATCAACTTTTGCTCATCTTCTTGTCGTGATCAGTTATCGGAAATAAAGTGTCAACAAATCCATATTGAATTACGCATGTTAATCCTCTTGTTACACTATAATAAAAAAAAAAATGTTCTTTGCATATCTGGACTTATGTTTGCCATTTAGTTTAATAATTTTACTCAAAATGTCAAAAAAGAATGTGTACATTAACTGCAGTCAAAACGTGTCTCTGATATTTATAACTTCGGTCCGCATCATTTGTAACAATTACATCACCTCGAAATGATGTGTGATTGACAGAAAATGGATACGAATACATATTTTGTTTTGCTAAAGGTTATAAAATTCTGCTCCAGAAACAACCACTACCACCAAATTCAATCTATGTCAAACTTGATGCCATGGAAATGTAAAACATATTTTATTCAGAAATTCAAAACTACCAAAAGGCACCGGTCCATCACCAGATCTATCTCTGCGAGAAGTCTGGTAAAGAAATATAGAACGGTTTTAAAGTTCTGCTCCGGAAAAAGAGTACCAACACCAATTTCAGTCAAAGTCAAACTTGTTGCCATGGAAACGCAAAAAATATTATAATCAGAAATCCAAAACTACCAAAGGGCAACAGTTCACCACCAGACCTATCTATGCGTAAATTTTGGTGAAGAAATATTAAACTCTTTTAAAGTTTTGCTCCAGAAAAGACAAATTTGCACAGGCGGACGCAAATTGTAGGGGATAATCACTCTACACAACTGCATTAACGACCAGATCCTGGCAGTTAGGAGGCATAACTCTAGACAACTGAGATGACAATCGGTATTAAGGGGACATAACTCTACACAACTGAGACGACAATCAGTAGTAAGGGGACATAACTCTACACAACTGAGATGACAATTGGTAGTAAGGGGACATAACTCTACACAACTGAGATGGCAATCGGTAGTAAGGGGACATAACTCTACACAACTTCATCATTAAGTTTGGTTACATTTACTTACCCATTTAGTGAAGTAAGACCTACGCACATTCAATTTCATATTATTCAGAAAATGAACGTCATTATAGCAGCGTCCAGCATCATTTTCGTTCACAAAGGCGACAAAGCCAGTCCGACAACTGAAAGGTAAGATAAGTGAATGTAGCAAAACAGAGAATACAGGCTTCCTCAGGGTTCCGTGTTAAGGGCACAGGAAACCTAATCTCATTTCAATTTTTGGTTAGTTGTTCAAGGCCACACTCTGCAATATTCCGGCTATATGGCAGCAGTTTGTAGATATGGAATCAGCACCAGACATTGCAGTGACAATGTCAGCCAAGTCGTCCACTCATATTAGTTGCCTCTTACAACGAGCATGGGTCGTTAAAAAACAGTCTTAACCAGATCCACATGCAGCACAATCTATACAAGTGATGAGGCTCAATGGTTATCCACGCTTAGACATTTGTGCTTGGAAATTGAACATCACAGATTAATGGAATCTTCTGCACCTTCAATTTTCTGTTGGTGCATTAAAGGAAAAATATTGAAGAAAAACTCTTTAAAATGTTAAACAGTCACACATTCAGAACACATCTACATGTCCAAAAATTTATCTAATATTATTGTTATCTAAAAATCAACCACCAACTACGCTGATCTCACTAAGTAGTACAGACAATGGGGGAATGGCAGCAACTATGGTGCTAAGCAAATTGAACACTTACCTAAGTAATTTAAACAATGTGGTTGGAAATACTTAACTAAGTAATTTAAACAATGTGGTTGGAAATACTTAACTAAGTAATTTAAACAACAATGTGGTTGGAAATACTTAACTAAGTAACTTAAACAATGTGGTTGGAAATACTTAACTAAGTAATTTAAACAATGTGGTTGGAAATACTTAACTAAGTAACTTAAACAATGTGGTTGGAAATACTTAACTAAGTAACTTAAACAATGTGGTTGGAAATACTTAACTAAGTAACTTAAACAATGTGGTTGTAAATACTTAACTAAGTAACTTAAACAATGTGGTTGTAAATACTTAACTAAGTAATTTAAACAATGTGGTTGGAAATACTTAACTAAGTAACTTAAACAATGTGGTTGTAAATACTTAACTAAGTAATTTAAACAATGTGGTTGGAAAAACTTAACTAAGTAATTTAAACAATGTGGTTGGAAATACTTAACTAAGTAATTTAAACAATGTGGTTGGAAATACTTAACTAAGTAACTTAAACAATGTGGTTGGAAATACTTAACTAAGTAACTTAAACAATGTGGTTGGAAATACTTAACTAAGTAATTTGAACAATGTGTTTGTAAATACTTAACTAAGTAATTTAAACAATGTGGTTGGAAATACTTAACTAAGTAACTTAAACAATGTGGTTGGAAATACTTAACTAAGTAACTTAAACAATGTGGTTGGAAATACTTAACTAAGTAATTTAAACAATGTGGTTGGAAATACTTAACTAAGTAATTTAAACAATGTGGTTGGAAATACTTAACTAAGTAATTTAAACAATGTGGTTGGAAATACTTAACTAAGTAATTTAAACAATGTGGTTGGAAATACTAACTAAGTAACTTAAACAATGTGGTTGGAAATACTTAACTAAGTAACTTAAACAATGTGGTTGGAAATACTTAACTAAGTAACTTAAACAATGTGGTTGGAAATACTTAACTAAGTAACTTAAACAATGTGGTTGGAAATACTTAACTAAGTAATTTAAACAATGTGGTTGGAAATACTTAACTAAGTAACTTTAAACAATGTGGTTGGAAATACTTAACTAAGTAATTTAAACAATGTGGTTGGAAATACTTAACTAAGTAATTTAAACAATGTGGTTGGAAATACTTAACTAAGTAATTTAAACAATGTGGTTGGAAATACTTAACTAAGTAATTTAAACAATGTGGTTGGAAATACTTAACTAAGTAATTTAAACAATGTGGTTGGAAATACTTAACTAAGTAATTTAAACAATGTGGTTGGAAATACTTAACTAAGTAATTTAAACAATGTGGTTGGAAATACTTAACTAAGTAACTTAAACAATGAGGTTGGAAATGCTTAACTAAGTAACTTAAACAATGTGGTTGGAAATACTTAACTAAGTAATTTAAACAATGTGGTTGGAAATACTTAACTAAGTAACTTAAACAATGAGGTTGGAAATGCTTAACTAAGTAACTTAAACAATGAGGTTGGAAATGCTTAACTAAGTAACTTAAACAATGTGGTTGGAAATACTAACTAAGTAATTTGAACAATGTGGTTGGAAATACTTAACTAAGTAACTTAAACAATGAGGTTGGAAATGCTTAACTAAGTAACTTAAACAATGAGGTTGGAAATGCTTAACTAAGTAACTTAAACAATGTGGTTGGAAATACTAACTAAGTAATTTAAACAATGTGGTTGGAAAAGTCAACAAGTGCACTTACGAAGCAGTCGGTATGATCATACAGCTAGCCACGCCTCCATAAGGCTTGAAGTGCTCGTACAGCAGCTCCCTGGTGATCAGTGGATTCAAAGTGGGCATAAAAAGATAACAATTCTTGACTTTCTGCAACAACAAAAGTCATGTACACAAATTGTAATTCTATTGCCTGATGTCACAGGTTAATTTGTCCATTTTCACATAACTTACCTCCCTTTAACACTTTTGTTAAAATGTTGAAATGATCAAAGATAATTTTAGAAAGTAAAACTGCAACTACCTAAAATTGTTTTAACTTTTGAATTCACCACAACACCCTTCACAAACACACCACAAGGAACTCTTTCTGCAAAACACACTGGGGAAACAATGCCTTGTGATGTCAGCCAGTTCCTGGGTTCATTGAGTGACCTCCTCTCTACATGCATTGTCACTGAATAAACCCAGCAATGTGGAAATTGTTCAATATTTGTTACCTGATTACAGCAACAGAAGCATTTTAAAGAAAACACTTGTTTATGACTGATAGGTTTTTGGAGTGAGTGAGTGAGTTTAGTTTTACACCGCACTCAGAACTCTCCAGTCATATGGCGGCGGTTGGTAAATGGTCGAATTTGCACCAGACAATCCAGTGATCAACAGCATGAGCATCGATCTGCGAAATTGGGAACCGATGACATGTGTCAACCAAGTCAGCGGATAAGTTTCTGGATGTCCATCTTTCTTTCATTGTAATGCTAGGATTGCACTATGTTCCCGGCGACTGAGGCAGCCCCATTTCGCTGAAAGGTAGTGAAACGAGGACAAAATGGGATAGACGTGAGACAACGTGGGGGACTAAGTGAGTAAACGTGACACTCCATGATTGCCGTGGATGACAGATTTATAAACTGTTCAAAAATCTGTCACAGCCGTAGTGACAGCCCATAATAGGCCATAACAGAACTTGTAGTTGGTCTGTAGTGTGTCCGTAGTGGGACAGGAGGCATGTGTTTTCCCCAGCATCTCATGGTCCTTTCACGTTTTGTCACATTCGGCCATGTTTGATTGGCGTTTTATCATGGTTGTTTTGCTGCCCGTTCTGTCACAGTATTCACAGCAAGCTTGGGGGTTTGGTAGCTGATTTGTCCCATTCTATCACAACGCGTCCAGGCGTGCGAAGGTTTACAGGGCCAGCTAGATACGGCACATTGCGCTCTACTACAGTCTGATTCAGTGCACGTGGTCTGCGAGAGAGTATGACGCAAGGACTCAATGTATGCCCCCAGCAATCATGCAAACACAAAATCTTCTTCATCTTTGGGGTTCATGCTGCTTTTGTCTCTCAGGATACAATGGCTATCCGTAGTGGACTGCAGGCCGAACGTTAGTGCGCCTTTGAGCTTCCGGGACTCAGCAGCCCATTTTCTCAACAGCCCATCATCCGTGATAGATCGTGAGAAAACTTAGCAGGACCTAACAAAACTTAACTTTGTAGGAAAAAAATGGCCAAAATCCCACGGTGCACTATGTTTCGGGGAACCGCTGCTGCCATGGCCGCCGGGAACATAGTGTAACCCTAGCATTAGGCATAGACATGCAATTTATTACCTACATATATAATACATTGAACCAGCACACATCCAAACATCACTTATGCCTTCCTGGTTCCTTACTATCATCCACATTTCTATGTGATATTGATAGAAATATTACTAAAAGCAGAACAAAACTTCAATCGTTTAGTCATTCATATTGTTGTACAACATTCACTCCCAGAATATTGATTTGTAACCTTTCTATTTGAAAAAACAAAACCGTGTCATGTTTTCCTTGTAGTATAAGTGCCAAGATATGCACCTAGGATGTACTGAGTATTAATCATGCAACAACAGCCTTCATCAACATCTACTATATTCATCCTTGTTTCCCAACATCTGACCCCAAAGCTGCATAGCAAGCATAAGTATCTTAAAACACTTGGCCTAGTGACCTTGACTATGGTGACCTGATATCTCAGTCAGTAAGTTTCCAATAAAAGTGGCAAAAAGAACTAGCAATAAGTGGTTTTACAAACACAAAGGTACTTTCTGGACATTCTTCAAAGTGAGAAAGACCATAAAGGTGAGGTGAGGTGAAATTGGGTTTAACATCATGCTTGAGAATATTTCACTCATATGACGACATGCATGCTTGTGTGTGTGGATGCGCGGCTGCTTGTACTAGCCCAGACTGAAGCTGGTTTTATAGTGCTAGCCTCAGTGAAGCATGAATACCCTACTCAGACACATTATACTGACTCCGAGCCGACCAGTCCTTGTTGTACCCAATAATGCTGAGTGCCAGGCAGGGACCAACAAGTACCACATTTTAACGTCTTTTGGTATGACGCGGCCGGGGATCGAACCCGCGACCTTCCGCAATCTGGGCGGAAGCTCTAACCACTACACCACAGAGGCGGTCAGACAGGAAAGGAAGACATGTGTTGTATTATAGAGAATTTTAATAGAAATTTCATGTTTTTCAATAAGGTCTTTCATAACCTTCACTGAAGATGAAAACTCATGAACAATTCCAAATTGACATCAATATAGAGCCAATGCAACCTCAAGTGACTTTGATGTTATATGAAAGTCACCAAAAAGTTGTGCTGCTGGGCCCCACCCTAGAGATCATATATGCAGTGGAAGAACAGATGTGTATTTGGCTTGAACATGGAAAGAAAACATTGAGAACATACCTCTTCAACAGCTGCCATTATCTTTGGATCTGTAAAGAGAAATTTCACATCTGAAACACATCTCATCACATATTTGACACGTTATGAAATCATATGACTCATCCCTGTACTACCATGGCCTGCAAGACAGGAGCTCTCTGAATTACCATGTCCTGAAGCTAGAACCACAGGAGCTCTCTGTATCACCATGGCCTGCAAGACAGGAGCTCTCTGAATTACCATGTCCTGAAGCTAGAACCACAGGAGCTCTCTATCACCATGGCCTGCAAGACAGGAGCTCTCTGAATTACCATGTCCTGAAGCTAGAACCACAGGAGCTCTCTGTATCACCATGGCCTGCAAGACAGGAGCTCTCTGAATTACCATGTCCTGAAGCTAGAACCACAGGAGCTCTCTGTATCACCTTGGCCTGCAAGACAGGAGCTCTCTGAATTACCATGTCCTGAAGCTAGAACCACAGGAGCTCTCTGTATCACCATGGCCTGCAAGACAGGAGCTCTCTGAATTACCATGTCCTGAAGCTAGAACCACAGGAGCTCTCTGTATCACCATGGCCTGCAAGACAGGAGCTCTCTGAATTACCATGTCCTGAAGCTAGAACCACAGGAGCTCTCTGTATCACCATGGCCTGCAAGACAGGAGCTCTCTGAATTACCATGTCCTGAAGCTAGAACCACAGGAGCTCTCTGTATCACCATGGCCTGCAAGACAGGAGCTCTCTGAATTACCATGTCCTGAAGCTAGAACCACAGGAGCTCTCTGTATCACCTTGGCCTGCAAGACAGGAGCTCTCTGAATTACCATGTCCTGAAGCTAGAACCACAGGAGCTCTCTGTATCACCATGGCCTGCAAGACAGGAGCTCTCTGAATTACCATGTCCTGAAGCTAGAACCACAGGAGCTCTCTGTATCACCTTGGCCTGCAAGACAGGAGCTCTCTGAATTACCATGTCCTGAAGCTAGAACCACAGGAGCTCTCTGTATCACCATGGCCTGCAAGACAGGAGCTCTCTGAATTACCATGTCCTGAAGCTAGAACCACAGGAGCTCTCTGTATCACCATGGCCTGCAAGACAGGAGCTCTCTGAATTACCATGTCCTGAAGCTAGAACCACAGGAGCTCTCTGTATCACCATGGCCTGCAAGACAGGAGCTCTCTGAATTACCATGTCCTGAAGCTAGAACCACAGGAGCTCTCTGTATCACCATGGCCTGCAAGACAGGAGCTCTCTGAATTACCATGTCCTGAAGCTAGAACCACAGGAGCTCTCTGTATCACCTTGGCCTGCAAGACAGGAGCTCTCTGAATTACCATGTCCTGAAGCTAGAACCACAGGAGCTCTCTGTATCACCATGGCCTGCAAGACAGGAGCTCTCTGAATTACCATGTCCTGAAGCTAGAACCACAGGAGCTCTCTGTATCACCTTGGCCTGCAAGACAGGAGCTCTCTGAATTACCATGTCCTGAAGCTAGAACCACAGGAGCTCTCTGTATCACCATGGCCTGCAAGACAGGAGCTCTCTGAATTACCATGTCCTGAAGCTAGAACCACAGGAGCTCTCTGTATCACCATGGCCTGCAAGACAGGAGCTCTCTGAATTACCATGTCCTGAAGCTAGAACCACAGGAACTCTCTGTATCACCATGGCCTGCAAGACAGGAGCTCTCTGAATTACCATGTCCTGCAAGCCAGAACCACAGGAGCTCTCTGAATTACCATGTCCTGCAAGCCAGAACCACAGGAGCTCTCTGTATCACTATGACCTGCAAGCCAGAACCACAGGAGCTCTCTGTATCACCATGGCCTACAAGCCAAACACACAGGAGATATCTGTGTCCTCATGGCCTGTAAGCCAGACACACAGGAGCTCTCTGTATTACCATGGCCTACAAGCCAAACACAGGAGCTCTCTGTATCACCATGGCCTGCAAGCCAGAACCACAGGAGCTCTCTGTATCACCATGTCCTGCAAGCCAGAACCACAGGAGCTCTCTGTATCACTATGACCTGCAAGCCAGAACCACAGGAGCTCTCTATATGACCATGACCTGCAAGCCAGAACCACAGGAGATCTCTGAATTACCATGTCCTGCAAGCCAGAACCACAGGAGCTCTCTGAATTACCATGTCCTGCAAGCCAGAACCACAGGAGCTCTCTGTATCACCATGTCCTGCAAGCCAGAACCACAGGAGCTCTCTGTATTACCATGACCTGCAAGACAGGACCACAGGAGCTCTCTATATGACCATGACCTACAAGCCAAACACACAAGAGCTCTCTGTATTACCATGACCTACAAGCCAAACACAGGAGCTCTCTGTATTACCATGGCCTACATGCCAAACACACAGGAGCTCTCTGTATCACTATGACCTGCAAGCCAGAACCACAGGAGCTCTCTGTATTACCATGGCCTACAAGCCAAACACAGGAGATCTCTGTATCACCATGGCCTACAAGCCAAACACACAGGAGATATCTGTGTCCTCATGGCCTGTAAGCCAGACACACAGGAGCTCTCTGTATTACCATGGCCTACATGCCAAACACAGGAGCTCTCTGTATTACCATGGCCTACATGCCAAACACACAGGAGCTCTCTGTATTACCATGGCCTACAATCCAAACACAGGAGATCTCTGTATCACCATGGCCTACAAGCCAAACACACAGGAGATATCTGTGTCCCCATGGCCTGTAAGCCAGACATACAGGAGATCTATTACCATGGCCTACAAGCCAAACACAGGAGATCTCTGTATCACCATGGCCTACATGCCAAACACACAGGAGATATCTGTGTCCCCATGGCCTGTAAGCCAGACATACAGGAGATCTATTACCATGGCCTACAAGCCAAACACAGGAGCTCTCTGTATTACCATGGCCTACATGCCAAACACACAGGAGCTCTCTGTATTACCATGGCCTACAAGCCAAACACTGGAGATCTCTGTATCACCATGGCCTACAAGCCAAACACACAGGAGATATCTGTGTCCCCATGGCCTGTAAGCCAGACATACAGGAGATCTATTACCATGGCCTACAAGCCAAACACAGGAGATCTCTGTATCACCATGGCCTACAAGCCAAACACACAGGAGATATCTGTGTCCCCATGGCCTGTAAGCCAGCCATACAGGAGATCTATTACCATGGCCTGTAAGGTAGCAAACAGGAGCATGTTTAAAACCTAACACCCAACATGATCACCCTATCCCTTTTCTCCAAACACCATAACCAGAATCCCATTAATGTTTATAGCCAGTATTGAGCGAGTGAGTGAGTTTAATTTTACGCCACTTTTAGCAATATTCCAGCACTATCATGGCGGGGGACACCAGAAATGGGCTTCACACATTGTAACATGTGGGGAAACGAACCCGGGGCTTCAGCTTGACAAGCAAACGCTTGAACCACTAGGCTATCCCACCGCCAGTAGTGTGAAAACCAAGTAACATATGTTAGTACTTTACAAACTATATTAAGAGCAACTAATGTATTCAATGTCATGTAAATGGTTTAGAGACTTGCCAATCCAAATATTATCAACAAGGAGACAACGAAATAAGTGTTTTAATGATATCTTACCTTTAGCAGCTTCCAACAACTGAAAAACAAGAAATAAGTGAGTGAGTGAGTTTAGTTTCATGCTCCTTTTAGCAATATTTCAACAATATCAAGGCAGGGGACACCAGAAATGGGCTTCACACATTGTGCCCATGAAGAAACAGATGATGTGTCATTACATGATACATATAAAAGGTAGAACAAGAAGACAAAGTCATCAATATCCCCTGCAATGGTAAAATACTATTCATGAATATGTCAACTAATTTTGACTTTGTCAAATGCTGCATTGTTCTTCCCACTGATCTAATAAAAACATACATATGTAAACTATTCATATACTAGCATGCTTGTATCAACAACAGACTGCCTGAATGCTTCCACGGTTTGATGTGCCTCAGTAATGTTGAATGCTGGAAATAGAGTGGTACTGATGAATGCCCACAAAGTGGAAGGAGAGCATTGAAAGACAGGGTTCGAAATACCCCATATATTAGTGTGCCATGGCACGGTAATTATTGAAATGGCACAGCTAAAAAATGTTCTCGGTGCCCTTTTGACACGCCTGATTTTTCAGAGACATAACTCACATTTAGTCATTTAATCCCCAAAACAATTATTTTTTCCAAATTAAATAATACCATACATGTTTGAATGATCATAAACCCATTTCGTTATTTAACAATAAATTTCAAATGATCATCATCATTGTCATTTATTCTAAAAACATGTGGGCATACTCAATTTCTGAAAGGCACACCTAAAATATTTGTCTGGTGCCCTAAGGCACACTTAGAAAAAATAGTATTTCTATCCCTGAAAGATTTTTAAGTTCTGCTCCGTAAAGCAGCACTACGACCAATTTCAATCAAAGCACAACTTGATGCCATGGAAATGCAACAATTATTTTATTCAGAAGAAATGTTTAACAGTTTTCATGTTCTGCTCCAGAAAAGATGAATTTGCACGAACGGACGAACACATGGAAGGACGGATGCATGGATGGAATCTAATATAACAAAAAAATACTAAACCCACTACCATAATAACTTTCAAAGGGCACATCAGTTGTGAGTGAATGGTACAAGGTTCATACAGATAAGGACCTTTATCATACAGGGCCTTTCCATGCTTTCAGCTGTAATTTTAGTTACCTTTGAGGTGCAAGTGTCAAGCATGCATCAATGCTCATGGTGGATGTACGTGTTATTGACTGTGTAAATTTCATTTTGACCGTTCTCTCACTGTCACCTAATTAGCATGTGTCCGCCAGGAAAGTTCAAAATGTGCGATTTGTAATTCTATTGTGGAATGATTTTCTTGCAATATTTGAAAAAGTCTCATCATAAAAAGATCAGTTGTTAATTCGCATATCTAACTTCAAGTAAATCACAATAACTTTTGCCTTTGATTATATTAGAGACCCGTGAAGATTGAGGATAGAATTGGTCTTCAGCAACCCATGCTGGTCATAAGAGAGGATAAAAGGATCAGGTGGTCAGGCTTGCTGACTTGGTTAACACAAGTGATTGTATCCCAATTCCGTAGATAGATACTCGTGACGATCACTGGATTGTTTGGTCCAGACCTGATTATTAACAGGCTGCTGCCATACAGCTGTAATATTGCTGAGTACCTCTTAAACAACTATAAGAAACTGTATATACTCACAGATCCACACGTCTTTTCTGCCACACGTACAAAAACCCTCTGGTTTCTTATTGTGTGGGGCATTATCAATGCTGTCAGAGCATCTTCTTGTTCTTGGAAGGAAACGAAGCCGAAGTTATTGCCCCTGAAACAAAATAGACACTGCTTTGAACAGAGTGACTCAGACATTTACAACTAGTGAAGGCAACAAGGTCAGTTAGGGTGCCGACTAATCAAGGACGAATATAAGGCCAGACCAATTTTATTTCTTGTTTTACAGATCCACGGGTCGTATTTTTTCAAAAATAAGAAAAAAAACATAAATTATTTTTCCCCACTCAAAAAATAAAATCCTCATGTTTCTATTGGGCAAAAATGTAAACTTACAAAAAAACTTTTTTTTTATTGTTGTTTGCGGCATATACACTTCATAAATTGCCAAAATGTAATTTTCTGAATAAAATTGATATTTTATGCTTATCCTGACTCAAGTATTTTTGCTTGTCTCCCTCTTCCCGCGAACGTTAGTGGAACACTTGAATCTCCTTTTTGAAGCTCCCTTCAACAAAGCAGACGTAAAATCACTACTCACCAAGAGTTATCTCCCTCGCAGTTTTGGACGGAAAACGGCGCCACACGTCTTCCCACTCTTCACTCTCTCCGAATTTCAAGCCCGACACTTAGATTGGCTGGGAAATCCAAAGTGCCTTGAGGGGAGGTTGGGAGGGCTTACCTCATGAGTCAGGATAAGTATAAAATATCAATTTTATTCAGAAAATTACATATTTTTCCTTATCCTGACTCAAGTATTTTTGCTTGTAGAATCCTATGGATTTGGTGGTTGGTCAAGCCAATTCTGGATTCCAATTTGGTGATTTACGTCCTGCATACCCCCCTATGGGAACTTCATGATAGCACTTTTCATTACTGCTAGGCTCTGCTGCTGTACCCTTGCTTCCAGCTTTCTCTGATGGGGGGACCACAATTTGTTAACTTTTGATCCTTACTTCTGTTAACATTATCTGTGGATTTGAGCAACTCCATCTCTTGATGCATGCATCAAGTGGAGAAGCGACCCTTCTTATGTACGAGTACATCCTTACAAGTACTAGGTCTATCACTCATGCTAGTCTATCTTAGACGTGCACATGGATTCTAAAGCTCTAACTCCCCAGAGTGTTGGCTTTTGCAAGTCACGTGATAAAAGGGCGAGACTCTGTCTCAGCTCCTTTGTGGAACTGTCAGTTGTTGTGCTACAACAAGAGGGCCGAAATGGTGAGTGCCAGAGACGTCCTCGGTGGCGATGTCTCTCAGGTAATGGTTGGCAAACACAATGTCCGATTTCCAGAAGCAGCCCTCCATTATCGTAGTGATGGAGCAGTTTCCATGTAGAGCGAGTGTTGACATCAGAGCTCTAATTTCATGTGGATTGGAGGCTCGTGGAGGATCAAGTCCAGCTGCTTTGTAGGCCCTTAGAATGACAGTTCTCATCCATATTGATATCGTAGTGCGAGAGATCTCTGTCTGTGTCTCTGCCTATATAGGGATGAAAAGACGCTTGAATTTTCGTCTCCTGGTCCTAGACCTTTGTAGGTAGACTTTAAATGCTCTTATAGGTTCTGTGTATCCTGAGGCCCAAGGACTGATGATAATGCTGGGATGTGGAATTGTCTATCAGGTTGACCTGGTAGTTGATTCTTTGCTATAAAATCCCATCTTAGACCCATACGTACGATGTTTCGATGCTCATCAAATCGTGTCCTTTCAAAGTCCAGAGCATGTATTTCCGACATCCTTGCTGCTGTTGCTAAGGCAATCAGAAATAGAGTTTTCTGTATCAAGAACTCATAAGATGTCCTATCTAATGGTTCATGAGCATCACTGGTGAGATGCTGTAGAACTATATTGAGGTCCCAAGCCAAAGCTTTAAATCTCTGTTGTTGGTCCTTCAACTTGAAGGATCATAGTAAGGTCAGTCTCTCTGGTACCTTAGTCAGTTTTACACTCGTCCTCATGGTGATAACTGAGCTCAAAGCCGCTAGGTATGTTGAGAGTGTTGAACCTTTTAACCGCTTTGCTTGTCTTAGATGACAAAGATAGTCCGCCACTTGAGGTTGTGTTGCTTTCATGGCTGTGAAGCCCTTTTTGAAAGCATAGGTCTCAAAGCTTTGCCACTTGTCGTCCTTTTGAGGGTTGATTTGCGTAAACCTAGCGTGACCGCTTTCGCTACCCTGGCGGGGTATCTTCGCTTATTCAAGCAAGCCTTGATACGGTCCATGCGTGTAGGCGGAACACTGTGAGGTTCCCGTGTGCTTGCTTGGTGTGCAGATGTACTAGCCAGTTCGTCCACTCTGGTAGTTGCAGTTGAGGAGGTCCTAGTTCTTGCATGAGAATGGGAAACCACATTCTCGCTGGCCAATAAGGTGCAAGCAAAATCAATTGCAGGTTCCTTGTCTGCTTGATTTTCTGCAACACTTGCTGTATTAGAGCTGGAGGCGGGAATGCGTAAGCGTTTAGTCCTTCCCAATAGACGCTTAGAGCATCTGTTGCCCATACTCATGGATCTGGTATTGGAGAGACGAATGTTGCTAGTTGATTGTTGAATCTTGTGGTGAACAAGTCTATGAGCAGAGCTTCTATCGATTGTATGGTTTGTTTGAAAATCTCTGGTTGTAGCATCCATTCTGTTGGGGATGGTCGTGTTGGACGAGATAGGGCGTCTGCTATCACATTCTTTGCTCCTGGAATGTGGCATGCTTTTGTCTAGATGTTCAGATTGTCCAATATGCTGAACAGATGAAAGCAGGGGTCCAGAAGGTTCGCCAACCTTGTTGATCCTTGTCCGTATGGATGATCAGATAAGCATTTCTTAGGATGCTGGTCCAGTGAAGTATGGCGTTTATTACTGCTTTCATCTCTAACATGTTGATATGCAGATTTTCTTCCTGTAATGTCCATTTCCCAGCTGACACTTCGTTGTCGAGGTGCGCTCTCCATCCCTGAAGGGATGCATCTACGTAGAGATGAGTATTGCACTCCAGCTCTACTAAGTAGGTCTCTCCACAAACATTCGATCTCAAAGTCCACCATAGTAGATATGGTTTTAGTCCGTCCGGAAGTCCGAAGGGTCCGGATCGTCCCGAGGGCCATTCACGAAGATTTGGAGTGGCATAGATATAGTCTCCCTCTGCAAGTCATGTGCTGACGTGAGAGGACTGAGTAGGCTCTGCCATCTTTCGTAGTAATAACGGAGAGAGTAGTGCTTGAGATACAATGGCTTGTATCTAGATCCTTGGCATGTCCGTAAGGGAAACGAAGCAATGTCCGAATCTGTGACTGCCATCATTGTGAAGTCTATATAAAGTAGACTGCCGTAACCAAAAGTCTGTCCAACGTATGTTGCTGCAATTCGCCTGATGAACAGTCTTCAATGCTGACAGGGAAGGTCTCTAACCCAGTGAAGACAGTCGAATCACGTAGTTCCCGTCTAACTGGACTGTAATTGAGGCCTTCCTCCCACGTTGAAAGGTTGTTGTCACTTGTAAACAATTTCCTGACATGTGAACTACGTCCGACTTCTGCGCAGGGCGTTGTCTCTCATGGACCAATCAAAATGAAGCATTTTGATTCCTTTAGCTTCCCGCGATGTGACGTCACCGGTGAAGCAGTAAAAAGGTCCTTGTAGAATCTTGTACAGTCGTTGATATCTTATCAACACTCGGTCTTGGTTGTTAGCACCAAGGAGTGCAGTTAGTCCCGTTATTATCTTCTGATGTAGATATATCTATCTAAAAATTCTCAACGATGTGAGACTGCAGAGCATGACTGTCAAGTGCGTGATCCTTCACACATTTCTTCATGCCGGTTACCTCCCGCAGCTTCGTCCTTCAGGCTTGGGCGAACCGTCCTTTAGGTCCATCATTTGCTGCATAAAAAAACCCGTGTTGAAGGTCTGCGACGACTGCAGATGTAGTGACACATGGAGATGAGTACGTAGAACTATGTGTAGTTCTAAGAGGAGATCTGTATGGCGACCTGCGTGGAGGTGAGCGTCTACGTGTCCGGGGTTGCCTTCACGAAGGCAATATATTCCTATGTGGTGAATCCCCAGACGACATGCGTGGTGATGGTGACATTCTTGATGATCTATCTGACGACCTTCACGCAGGTGAGAGATTTTGTTGAGGGTCTGAGTCCTGAGACGTCTCTCTGTATCTTCTTGGAGGTGTAAGTTTCTTCCTCTGTGATGTAGGTAGCCTGTGCAAAGGCTCTTCATTAGCTTCATCATCAGATGACGATCTATTCCGGTCGGAAGAATGTCCCTTCCTTCGCGCAGGTTAGTTGACGTGGTGCAGGGTAGGTCTGCTCTTAGTCCTAGAGCTAGAACCTCTTGTAGACATCTCAGATGCACCATCGGGTGTGGGGTCTTTCGTGCAGCACTGGTCCCTCTAGTAGGTTGATGACTTGAGCATGAGAGCCGGCTGGCTGTCCATCATGCAAGGTCCTTTCCTACGCGAAGTGCTTCTCCATCAGGTCCATCATCTGTTGGGAGAATTGCTGCATGAAGGTGCCGGGGTTGAATGTCTGCGACGACTGTAGAGATGATGCATCTGGGAGGGTAGCGATATAGTCCAGGGATCGCTGTACCTCATGGGTCCCTGCTGCCAGTGTAGAAGGTAACTCAGACTGCATCGATAAGGTTGCTGACGTTACCGTTGCTGAGGCCTGTGTCTTCTTCTTATGCAGTATCTCTGGAATGAGGATAGGCAGCTCTTCATATAAACCTATTTCTTCCATCAGGATGATCTCAGCAGAAAAGGTCCTCGGGGTCTGTGATGAGCCCCCAGTAGATCTCGTTGAAGCCTTACGTGTATAAAGCTTCTTCTGCGATGAAGATGACCTCTTCTTCCTTGTATGGGTTGAAGAGTTGTCCGACGTAGAAGATCTTTTCTTCGACGTAATGGCAGACTTCATCCCACGCCCATCTTCTGAAGACGCCTCTGGCAGATCACTGGATGGTAGTATGTCGTCTGATAACGACAAACAGCTCTTAAGGGACACAGCCAGTTTAGCCATGACTTGCAACAGCCATCTGGATTTATCCTTAGCACGTCTAAGTACAGAAAGATAATAATTATTAAATTCCAATTTTGTTAAATGCTGACACAATTTACAGCGAGAGCTGGAAGTACATGTTGCTGTGTAACTAGGGCACAACAAATGCAGGTCTGCAGCAGAGAACCTAAACCTGCAACGAAAACAGGTTTTCATGAAATGTAAACAAACTGAACAATCAGGTGAAAACGCGAATAAACAGTCAAATTTGCTAATAAATTTCAAACCATATTGTAGAAGGATACTCCCTGAAACCTTATAAAGGTAACTTATAGGGTAATAACTAAGTTAGAAAAGGATATAGTGCCGTGTTGGAGACCCAGGTGCTCTCCCAACCGTCCACTAGGGCGAAGAAGGAGAGAGTGAAGAGTGGGAAGACGGGTGGCGCCGTTTTCCTGCCAAAACTGCGAGGGAGATAACTCTTGGTGAGTGATGATTTTATGTCTGCTTTTCTGAAGGGAGCTTCAAAAAGGACATTCAAGTGTTCCACTAACGTTCGCGGGAAGAGGGAGACAAGCAAAAATACATGAGTCAGGATAAGGAAAAATAATAGAACACTTTTAGTATTTAAAAGGAATATTACTTTGACTGGTGATTTGTATTTTTTTAGTTTTTTTCCCTGCTGCCTTTAGGCTTTCGGAGGACAAAAATCCGTAAAACAAGAAATACAAATGGTCTGTCCAAAGATGAGGTGAGGTGAAATTGGGTTTTACGTCGTGCTTGAGAATATTTCGCTCATATGACGACGTGCATGCGTGTGTATGTGTATGTGCGGCTGCTTGTACTAGCCCAGACTTAAGCTGGTTTTATAGTGCTAGCCCACTGAGATACCATGCCGCAGTGAAGCACGAATACCCTCCTCAGACACATTATACTGACTCCGAGCCGACCAGTCCTTGTTGTACCCATTAATGCCGAGCGCAGGGACCAACAAGTACCATATTTTAACGTCTTTTGGTATGACGCGGTCGGGGATCGAACCCGCGACCTTCCGCTCTCCTCTGTCCAAAGAGTGAATATGTGGTTTGAATAACACGTTAGCAGATCCAGGCACAGCTGACAATTATAAGGGAAGTAACTTCGTAAACACAAAGAAAACAAGTTTTTGCCACTGATATGGCAATGTACCCAGCCGATAAAGAATGGAATATCTATATTTACTAATTTTTTATTTTTGGGTCACATACAAGATGCCTGAAATGACTGGTATCTGCATAATCACCAAATGTAGGCTGTCAACATACTTGGGTGCACTGTTTTATGAGATATCGTGGTAAAATAAGTTTGAAAAGTGGTCAAAGTGTTGTGGTGACCTTGAAGATAAGGTCAATGTGCGTAATCCCCAATGTAGGCTGTCACCAAATTTGAAGACACTGGGTACAACAGTCCATGAGATATCGCATTCACAAGAGTTTGAAAAGTGTGCAAAGTGTCGAGGTGACCTTGAACATAAGGTCAAGGTCACCCAAATCGACTGATATCTGCATAATCCCCCAATGTAAGCTGTCACCAAATTTGACGACATTGGGTACAACAGTTCATGAGATATCGCGTTAACAAGATTTAGAAAACTGGTCAAAATGTGTTGACCTTCAAGATATTGACCAAGACTAACCTTACTGGAGGCTGCATAATTATTTGATTTTATTCAACTGAGGTTTTTTTTTAATGAACAGTAAGAAAAAATATACTTTGTATCTGAATTTCTAAATAACCTACTGTCGTCCCTTATGTTCCAGTAGGGGTCACTTGAACTTTTGTTTAGACTTGAAAATTGAAGAATTTTGAAAATTATACAATTAAGCAACCCATGCTTGTCATAAGAAGCAACCCATGGGAACGGGTAACCCTCTATCAAGCAGACTACAGAGATTGGGGAATTGGTGCACCAGCTTACTCTTTAACGCTTCCAGGGATTTTGCTCAAGATGAGTTTCCCCCACATGGAGAAGTGTTCTATGAGATCTTCAGGAGTGACTCCATCAGGTATGTTGGTCAGAAACAACATGTTCGTCTACAACAGAGAAAATAAAGCATAACAATTCACTGTAACTAACACAAATATACATTTCCTTAAGTGGCATTTAGAAGCTGGTATGATGAAGTGGAGCACTTTTATCGATAGACAACTTCTTTGTTGCAGTAGTAGTTGCAACGATCCTAACACCGTTATCAAGCAAATGATACACAGCATTTGCCTACTGGCTTCAATCATTTCTTATCACAACAAGTCTCAAGTCAACACACTGTACATCAACCTCTTCTATTGTATAAACCCAATACCCCGCCTTGTATATATTTCTCCTTGTGCAAATGTTGTGTATCATTTGCTTGATAACGGTGTGAGGATCTACACCGAAACATCGCAACTACTACTGCAACAAAGTAGTTGTCTATGTATAAAAGTTCTCCACTTCACAAATATACATAATTAATATTCCATCTGTACAAAACTAAATATTTACAATGTATGACTGTGGATAATCCAAATTTGGAGAGGCAGAAAAAGCATTCTGTAAGAAAGAGTTAGCTACCCATGAAGATCTGGGTTAGAATTGGTCTTCATCAACCCATAGGGTGGTAGGACTCACTGACTTGGTCGACACATGACATCATATAACAACTGCATAGATCGCAGCTTATGATGTCGATCACAGGCTTGTTCGGACTGGGTTATTTATAGACTGACACTATTTAGCTGAGATACAGCAGACTGTGACATCAAAAAACAAATATGACAATGCTCAAATATATATTGTTTTTTCTTCCAATCTCTCAGTGATACATTATTGTGGTAAGCAAAACACAGAAATTCAAATATTTAGTGGTTGAACTTAATATTCATATTAAAGTGAGTGAGTGAGTTTAGTTTTATGCCGAACTCAGCCATATTCCAGCTTTATGATGGCGGTCTGTAAATAATCGAGTCTGGACCAGACAATCCAGTGATCAACAGCATGAGCATCGATCTGCGCAATTGGGAACCTATGTCGTGTCAACCAAGTCAGCGAGCCTGACCACCCAATCCCATATTTAGAGGGATTGAGAGAGAATTTCTTTTCTGTAAACATTCACTTTGGCTTTCACACAGCAGTGAAGTCACCAGTGTCAATCAGAGGACGTTCACTGCTGCTATTAGTCTTAAACCTTTTCTTGAGAACCTGAGAAAAATAGAATGTGTTTTTGATGCCATATTCAGCAAAGTGAGAAAGATACCATTCATAAATGTAAAAACACTCTACAAACACCCTGACTGTCTTTTTTCATCAGCATTTCCACATTTCAGTGGGATGATGTGTATCAAACCAAAGTGATGTGTGTATTGAGCAGGTGCCCCACTAGACAGATACTCAGACAGATTTTTGATCATGTTGAAGAGAGAATTGAGAACAAACAAACCTGTTCAAATTTCTCACCATCTGCATTATTCTTTAAGCCTGGAAGAATGAAACAAGTAGCATTAATAACAGATGGGGGGAGAGGGGGGGGTTGTGGTTTACACATTAACATTTCTTGAACTCTGAAGTGTGAATAACCAAAAGAATCCAGGTATTGTTTCACAAAGTAATCATAGCAGGATGACTGTCGTAAATCTGTGTAACAGAAAAGAAATAACAAACATTAGTCGAAATGCCATGTTAGCTTTGTGAAACAGGATCCAGATTGTCTACAGTGGGAATAGGATTTGCTAAGGCCCAGTCATAGCCCCCTCTTACAGACAGAGAGCCAGGCACCTCATCTCCTCATGTCTAGTACAAGCTGTTCAAGAGTTAAGGCTCAACCATAGCACCCTCTTAGAGACAGAGAGCCAGGCACCTCATCTCCTCATGTCTAGTACAAGCTGTTCAAGAGTTAAGGCTCAACCATAGCACCCTCTTAGAGACAGAGAGCCAGGCACCTCATCTCCTCATGTCTAGTACAAGCTGTTCAAGAGTTAAGGCTCAACAATAGCTCCTTCTTACAGAGAGGGTGCTTGGCACCTAATACAAGCTGTAAAGAGTTAAGGACCAACCTCCTCTAATCTTCTCATGTCTAGTACAAGTTATACAAGTATTAAGGCCCAACCATAGTCCCCTCTTACAGACAGGGTGCTCGGCACCTAATCTCTGTCTAGTACAAGCTGTACAAGCTATATATGCCTTAAGGCCCAACTATAGTCCAGTCTTACAGAGAGGGTGCCTGGCACCTAATCTCCTCATGTCTAGTACCAGCTATACAAGCGTTAACCCCCTGGGTGCCAAAGGGACATATATGTCCTTCCCCCTCAACTCTCATTTTCAAGTCCAATTAAAATCAAAATATCCCCCGCACACAAATAAACATCACAGTTTCCAAGTCAGCGGGAAATTTCCTGTTTCTTGATACCATCCACTATTATTTTAGACAAAGCTCAAGTGCTGAAAATGACCTTTCAAAATAGGCTTCATAATAGGCTTCATCGAAAATGTCGCCATTTTTGACACAGTACGAAATCGCGATTTGCTGTATGTTTTGAAATGTGAAAATCGGATAAATACTGGGAGTATTGAATTTCAAAAATAACATATTTATGATTACTGATATCAGTTTTATATGAAATCGCTAATGATAATTCTGAAACGTTGCATCTAGAATCGGTTGGGATGTTTTCGAAAATACACCCACACGAACGCCGTAGAGTGCTTTCCGCCATATTGGATAGTGTTTACAAAGTCATGTTTCGCGAAAAGGCCGGTATTGAGATGCCTATTACATCATGTATATTTCATATTCAGCTTCGAAAAATGCATCACTGAATCCCCCCACATTTTACATTCAAATTACAAATGGTCTTTGTCACCAATACAAAGTGTCTCGATAAAATGAGACGAAACATAATGGGTGTGAAAACGAATGCTGAGCTCGAAAAACTGCTCATTTGTAATGTAAACAAAGACAAAGTCTGATTTTACACTGCGTAGCATTTTCTGACAGTTTCCAACATTCATCCGTCTATTCATTGCTTGCAATGGCTCAATACCTTTGGAATATGCATGGAAAGAGTATCGTAGCCAAAAATAGGAAATTATCAATAGATACAATGCAATGATTACATAATTCATAAGAAATTGTCAAAGTTTCCATGTAGCGTGACGCCATGACTGACACAAAAATCATGAAGACCGACAACGGTTATTATCTGCATTTCTGGCTTCTTCTCTTTCTGATAATGAAATCGATAAAAACATACAACAATACACAGATAGTCAGAATCATTCTGATTACTTAATCTGATATTTATGTACAAACGATCCCTGAATCAATGGAAGGGTTCTCGCAAAATCCTGTGTACCCTTGTCAGTAAAGCCACCATTTTTTAAGAAATCGGTCAACGGTAGTGAAGTCATACGTCAACATTGTTGTACACATTAGGCAATTTCTTTGAGATGAAGGTTGGTTGAACAAGAGTAAACACAATCACCCAATCCTTCCGATTACACTGTCAGTATTATGATGTATATTTTGCGTGTAGTTCAGATATTACTTCATGAAACTGACTTCAGTATCTACATTTAGCCTTGTTCATTATCATATCATACATGTATATAGGATTTACTGTGTTTTATTCTTTGAAAGTTTTTGATTGTTTGAATAATATTTACATAAGAAGTTGACACATTCAGCGCAGTAGTTGCCATATTCTATAACCTTTACACAATTGTTAGAAGATCAAACGTGTAGCCATTCAGCACATTAGTTCCTATGATGTACCATAATGCATTTGGACTAATACAGTTTCACATACAAGGTTTGAACGGCAATTTAGAATAAGTAAAACGATAATATTAATGAAAGCCATAATGTTATGAAAACTACATTTATTGTCTTGTTCCTATTTTGATGTAGACAAATATTCAATGCATTTGGACTAATATGGCAGTTTCACATAAACAGGTTAATGAACGGCAATTTAATTCAACCTTATAAGTAAAACTGATAATATTAATGAAAACGATTTATATATGTTATGAAATATATATGCACACATATTTAAAGGAATTGTCTTGTTCATTTCATATTTTCGTGTCGTTTTATAGACAAAACAATGATGTATATTAATTGGCTAGGTGCGCATTTGTCGAAAACGTTTTATGATTCACTATCATTGTTTTCGATAACATAATCAATTCATGAACAACAAGGAGAGTTCTATGGATATACAACTTCTTTAATATGATAACATCATTTACTAACACGGTGTTAGCAAAATAGCTACAACTTCAAACGCTGATTCGTAGCTCATATCATATTAAAAAGTTGTATATCCATAGAACTCTCCTTGTTGTTCAGCACACCAACTTCTAAATGCCACTTAAACAAGTTATAATCAATTCACCTTCAGTTAAAAAATATTGTGATGACAGGATATCAAACTCGAACTATATTTATACAAAAATTGTTTAAAAATATACAAACCATGTCTTGTCTTAATTTGGACAAATCTTAAATCCATATTCTAATATATAATTCTATATATAAAGGCTATCTTTTTGCATCTTTCATTGCATACTTATGAAGAAAAAAATAACTACATAATCATAAACAAAGAAAATTCTTATCCTAAACAAAATTTTCGAGTGTTGTGAAATATTATTTTTCATTTACGTTAAATTGATGCCAAACAGGTGCATGTGTTGCTCAAAATAAGATACGCTGTCAAACCGTCTAATTGTTGATATATTCATGACACTATTTAAATGGAAAAATCAGTTATTTTATATTTTGTCTAAAGAGTGTGAAATTCTGACATAGAAGCCAAGACCTTTTATACAATTAATGGAAATTAAGTGAGATATATACTAATCAGCATACCAATGTCGTCTTTTTCCGACGTCGCAAAATGCATAAAACAAGCAATGACGTCAACTTAAATGTTGCATTATTTTCAGCAATTTCATTACATTTGACGATATGGCTATTCCTCTGGTAATAACGATGCAAAATTAGTCAAAATACATCTAGACAAACAGGAGAATATGTTGAATCTAAGAACTAAGTTATATATCTGACAGGGCCATCCAAATTGCTATTACATGATTTCACTTGTGGTATGTTGTCATTTTTTCTTATAAATTGTGAAACTACCAAAGCGTATCCGCTCACATTGGGGAACTTTGAATTGGAATAGTTTGGTTCACCGTGAACAAAAAATACCGAAAATATAGCGTCCGTACCCACAACAAATTCTCTCCACGTGATCTGAGTTACATTGACGTAGTGTTAAGCATAACGGAGTTATGCCCCCTTATCATTATACGTGTATGACCTCTCTGTCGTCGTTTGACGTCATAGAAGAAAATCCATTTTTGACATTTATTGCGAGTCATTTTTTAATGTTGAGTGTATAACGTTATGCATAAGCACATGAACCCAATTCATATGCACCTATCTTGTTCAGATATGAGGCTGTATTTTCTTCGCTCACACTTTCCGTAAAGATGCCAAATTAAAAAAATTGCAGCACAGTGCTTTTTTTAATGCAAAACAAAAAATTGGCCAACATACAGCATGGTCTATTTCTCAAACCGCCGAGGTAGTTGCACTTATATTTATACCAACGGATAGGAAATTTAATATTCTACATCTCTATGTAATTTTATAGCCGTATGCAGATCCAGGACCACGCGAGCGGAATTCTCGCATAAGGCTCACTTTTCAAACCTTAAGAAGATGTGCGCCTGAAAAAAAACTCGGCATCCAGGGGGTTAAGGCCCAACTATATTCCAGTCTTACAGAGAGGGTGCCCGGCACCTAATCTCCTCATGTCTAGCACAAGCTATACGAGAGTTAAGGCCCCACCATAGTCCCCTTTTACAGAGAGAGGGTGCTTGGAAACTAATTTCCTCATATCTAACTCATGGGGTTCATGATTCACAGAATTCATCACCTTGAAATAAAATTGGCGGAAGTACACAGATCAGAAAATTGTCATCCTTGCATTACACTCATGGGTGCAGAAAATCTCCAGACATGACCTACTCACACCATACATGTGATAAGGCTGTATATAAGTCACAATAAGTGTCCTCTTAAAAACACAAGAGCTTCCCTCAAACATGTCTAACAAATCAATGTTGGATGAAATCCTACCTTTTTCAGGCTTCATAAGCTGAAATCAAGAAAATATGGAGTAAGTATTTGAACAAGCATTTAACATCAAACATGAACAATTATGCAAACTAATCCCTTGAGTTCACAGATATTTTGGCTACTCTTGCTGGCATTGAGAAGAAACACTGTCTCACAAAAGACCATGAAGGCACATGAATGGCTGTTTGGCTTATCCCAGAATAATAATAAGTGCTCCCTATTACTGTATTCAACATATTTAGCACCCCCTCCAATAATAAGTGCTCCCTATTACTGTATTCAACATATTTAGCACCCCCTCCAATAATAAGTGCACCTATTACTGTATTCCACATATTTAGCACCCCTCCAATAATAAGTGCTCCCTTTTACTGTATTCAACATATTTAGCACCCTCTCCAATAATAAGTGCTCCCTATTACTGTATTCAACATATTTAGCACCCCCTCCAATAATAAGTGCTCCCTATTACTGTATTCAACATATTTAGCAACCCCTCCCTAATAAGTGCTCCCTATTACTGTATTCCACATATTAAGCACCCCCTCCAATAATAAGTGCTACCTATTACTGTATTCCACATATTTAGCACCCCCTCCAATAATAAGTGCTCCATATTACTGTATTCAACATATTTAGCATATTTAGCCCCCCTCAAATAATAAGTGCTCCCTATTACTGTATTCAACATATTTAGCACCCCCTCCAATAATAAGTGCTACCTATTACTGTATTCAACATATTTAGCACCCCTCCAATAATAAGTGCTACCTATTACTGTATTCAACATATTTAGCACCCTCTCCCTAATAAGTGCTCCCTATTACTGTATTCCACATATTTAGCAACCCCTCCCTAATAAGTGCTCCCTATTACTGTATTCCACATATTTAGCACCCCCTTCCTAATAAGTGCTCCCTATTACTGTATTCAACATATTTAGCACCCCTTATCTAATAGTGAGTGAGTGAGTGAGTTTAGTTTTTACGCCGCACTCAGCAATATTCCAGCTATATGGCGGCGGTCTGTAAATAATCAAGTCTGGACCAGACAATCCAGTGATCAACAGCATGGGCATCGATCTGCGCTATTGGGAACCGATGACATGTGTCAACCATGTCAGTGAAACTGACCACCCGATCCCGTTAGTCGCCTCTTACGACAAGATAGTCGCTTCATATGGCAAGCACATGGGTTGCTGAAGACCTATTCTGCCCCGGATCTTCACGGGTCCCTTCTCTAATAAGTGCTGCCTATTACTGTATTCAACATATTTAGCACCCCATCCATAATACGTGCTCCCTATTACTGTATTCCACATATTTAGCACCCCTCCAATAATAAGTGCTCCCAATTACTGTATTCAACATAATTAGCACCCCCCTCTCTAATAAATGCTCCCTATTACTGCACTCAATAAGCCCTCCCTCCCAATAAGCCCTCCCTATTACAAATATGTAGCATGCTAAGTGCGCCTCCCCCAATTCATTAACATGTTGCTCAATTTAGTCATCATTTACGACAAGCAGTGGGGTACTAAGGATACATTGTACCATGGAACAGGGATGTTAGTCAATGTTTGAGCCACATAGCAATACCTGTTGATTGACTGTTCTGCGTGATTTTTAACCACTTCCGAATTAGTGACGCTACCTTCCTGGAGTATCCTAATACCTGGCCCTTTTAGATCTAAATAAGCTAAGAGCTTAATGTGCTTTACAGTAATTTCAATTACAGTAATATCAAACAAAGGAACTCACAGCCTTCCATTTCGCTGATAAATGTACATGCATCACGGTTTGTCCATAATTGTGGGTCGCGTTCAGACATTTCACGGCATCTTCATAATTGACGAAGGAAACAAAGCCAAACTTTGTGTTTCTGGTCCTGAAAGATATCAGAATGTGAAAATGGGTTTACATTCAAGATAACTGCACTCATATAGTGATATTTATGAACATGTGTTTAAGGCTGCGAATACAAGTAAGACTAACACTGGTTTAACAGTGCTAGCCCTCTGAGGAATCTGCAGTTCAACATGGATACTCCACTCAGACACAGAATACTTGAGCTGTCCTTGTTGCTTAATGCTGGGTATCAACAGGTACCAGACAGGGTATCAACAAGTACCAGTCAGGGTATCATTATCAACAAGTACCAGTCAGGGTAACAACAAGTACCAGACAGGGTATAAACAGGTACCAGACAGGGTATCAACAAGTACCAGTCAGGGTATCAACAAGTACCAGTCAGGGTAACAACAAGGACCAGACAGGGTATCAACAAGTACCAGACAGGGTAACAACAAGGACCAGACAGGGTAACAACAAGGACCAGACAGGGTAACAACAAGTACCAGACAGGGTATCAACAAGTACCAGGCTGGGTATCAACAAGTGTAACAACAAGGACCAGACAGGGTAACAACAAGGACCAGTCAGGGTAACAACAAGTACCAGACAGGGTATCAACAAGTACCAGGCTGGGTATCAACAAGTACCAGTCAGGGTAACAACAAGTACCAGGCAGGGTAACAACAAGAACCAGACAGGGTATCAACAAGTACCAGGCTGGGTATCAACAAGTACCAGGCAGAGTATCAACAAGTACCAGTCAGGGTAACAACAAATACCAGGCAGGGTATCAACAAGTACCAGACAGGGTATCAACAAGTACCAGAGAGGGGGTATCAACAAGTACCAGACAGGGTAACAACAAGTACCAGGCAGGGTATCAACAAGTACCAGGCAGGGTATCAACAAGTACCATCTAATACATAGAGAATACTACACAAGGTCTCATAACATATGAATTATACAAAACGAGTGTTCTTTCTATGGTATCTGACCAAGCGAAAGCGAGGTCAGGAACCATAGGAAGGTCACGAGATTCATATAACTCGTATGTTATGAGACCAAGTGTGGTATTTTATTTATTACCCACGTCTTACATTCATTAAATTGACAAAATAGTGTATTTTTGTTATTTTTATGGTTTCAAATCAAAACTGGTTTCATAAAGAGGTTGCGGAAGAATGTTGTTCTGTAGTACACTTTTTATTACACTGTAATACACAATGCATTTAAATTGTAGAATGAATGAATTCACGTGTTTGTTATGAATGAAAAAGTCGTTACGTCACAATGTGACCTAATTGTGAGGTCATCGATTATCCAATCAAATCGTTAGAATCTAAGGTCAAGTCGTTACGACACAGGGTAACGCCATACGACACTTGTGTGAGGTAAAAGATTAGTATGCAACTACCCATACGCTGACCACGTAGGTGATAAACAGGACTACTGATCTTGCACAGTCCTTTTTCAAAAAATGCATTGTGTAATTCTAGCTTTTAACTTGGCAAGCTGTGCCAATTTACACTAATTTTGTATGTGGGGTACTCAAAGTCCCTGACTTAGACAACAAGTTGACAGAGCACAAGCTGATAGACTTCCATATTTGCGGCAGCTGCAGGCGCCGAGTGGGTTAGCTCACTGACAACAGCTGCATGGCAGAAATTCAATGTGGTGATTTGAGTTACTTAGAAATATCAGTGTATAAGCAACTCATTGCCAGCAGAATGATTTAAACTGTCAGTGCAATATCAAATTGCTTTCAATACTATATCCATGGAAATAATTTTTTAAAAAGCCTAAAGATGTAACTTGAGGCAACTAGTATAATTTTGAAATAATATAAAATACTCAAAGAGTAATCAATCTGCCAAAATCTAATAGTTGGCCTTCATGCAACCGAGTCAGCAAGTCTTTTACAAGAAACATGAGTTCTTGTAGATCCTTTTTTAATGACCTGTGAAGATCCGGGTTAGAATTGATCTTCAGTAACCCATGCTTGTCGTAAGAGGCAGCTAATGGGATCGGGTGGTCAGGCTTGCTGACTTGGTTGACACATGTCATTGTATTCTAATTGCGTAGATCCATGCTCATGCTGTTGATCACTGGATTGTCTGGTCCAGACTTGATTATTTACAGACCGCCGCCACCATATAGCTGGTATATTGTGGAGTGCTGCGTTAAACTAAAACTCACTCCCTCACTCACTCCTTTTTTAATACAGCTCTCAGTGTGTATGAAAATAACCAAGTATGATGAGCCATCTTACCTCTTAGCCTTTTCTGCTACATCACAGATGGAAATGTTTCCCCACTGTGTGAAGTACACGGACAGGTCCTCTTCAGAGACATAGAGAGGTATGTCAGTCACATACAACGTGTGCTCTTCTAAGGACTACAACAGAGAAATATGGAGCTTAAAATTTTAGAATGCAGTCAGAGATTTAATACTTATCATCACATCCACATTGCCTCATCCATATAGTGACGAACAGATTTTGCTACTTTTTCAGATTAAAACTATCAGGACTTGTTCACTCACTGTTCAATGCCACACTCAGCAGTATTCCAGCTACACAAAAGCAGTTCTTAAATTAGTGAGTCTGGACCAAACAATCTAGTGACTGATATCATGAACACTGACCTCAACAATTAGGAAACAATGACATGCTTGTCACATATTCTGACCATCCATTCAAGTTGTCACCTCTTATTTCAACACACTGTTAACTTTTTCTAGGTTGCATAATACATTCCAACTTTCACTTCCCCTAAGATCTTTGTTTTGTGCTACAGATAGAATCAGGTTTTAATGAGACTGGACAGTGTTTCAGCCATAACATAGCATCAAAACTTGACACTGGTGGAAAGCTGAAGCTGTCAGTGAAATATGTAACATTTATGATAAGATTGATATTTTATACTTATCCTGGCTCATGCTTATTGTATTTATATCACTTCTCCTTTCGACAGTTAAGTGGAAACTTGAATCCTATTCAATTCCCTGAAGCAATCATACAATCACTCACCCAGAGTTGCCTCCCTTATTCCCGCCAAAATGGTTCCACGTGACCTGAGCCTAGCTCTCATCATTCTCTCCAAAATTTAAGCCCGCATTGGCATTGTGACTTACAGGGAAACCATTAATGCTGAGAGGAGACGGACGGGAGGGCTTATCAAATGAGTCAGGATAAGTATAAAATATCAATTTTATCATAATTATTACACATTTTTCCTTATCCTGACTCATGCTTATTGCTTATCGAATCCGACGGAATAAGTGGTGGGCCAGCCACCTACGGGATTCACTGTGGCTGTCTATATACAGTCTGATCGTATACCCAATAGGAACTCTTGTTGCGGCCTTCAAGTTGTCTCAATGTCATATTTGGGGGACCACCTTCTCTTTACTCATTAAGAGAATTATATCTTAGAGATTTTGTGGATTTAGATAATCTAGTAATGTTCAGCGACTAGATATTTTAGAACCACCCATATATTAAGGTAAGGACTATTACCGAAACAGGAATCGCAACCTATAAGTTAAGTAAGCGCTATTACTTAACAGAGTTTATATCACTCAAGCTCTGACTTTTCAAGTAAGACAGGTGGACATGGACTCTCTGCTGGTGTCAATGGGCCAGTTGCCCAGCATCAACGGTCAGCATGATCAGGGTAGGTTTCTCAATGTCTGGCTGGAATCGTGAGTTGTTGAGCCTCTACAAGTGGATCGCACTGGTGAATGCCTGATACATCCTTTGAAGCAATATCTCATAGATAGTGATTAGCAAACACTGTGTCGGATTTCTAAAAGCAGCCTTCCATGATGGATGATAATGAGCAATTCCCATGTAGTGCGCGAGTCGATGCTAATGCTCTAACTTTGTCTGGGTTAGATATTCTAGGGGGATCTAGTCCCGCTGCTTTGTAGGCTCGTAATATGACTGCTCTGATCCAGAATGAGATTGTGGTTCGAGAGACCTCAATATTCGTTGCGGGTGATAATGGAATGAAGAAATGTTTGAACTTTCTCCTTCTTGTAGCAGTCCATTGTAAGTAGGTTTTTAGAGCTCTGACTGAGCACAGGGACAAGTCTCCTGTGTCTCGATGTCCGAAGACTGATGACCATGTTGGCACATGAAATTGACCATCTGGTTGACCAGGTAGTTGAGTCCCATCTTAGACCCAGGTGGACTGCAGCATGTTCTCTTGTGTCGAATCTTGTTCGTCCAAAGTTGAAAGCATGTATTTCTGACATCTTTGCTGCTATAGCTAAGGCAAGGAGAAATATTGTTTTCTGAGTTAACAACTAAAAGGTTTGTAGTCGTTGCTGGTGGGATGTTGCAGCACTATATTGTGATCCCCAACTTAGGCTCTAAATCACTGCTGTTGATCATCTAGTTAAAATTATCTCAGTGGTGCAACAAGTTTAGGTACTTTGGTGAGTTTAACTCCCATGTACATCGTGATAACTGAGCTGAACACCGCCAAATATGTCTCTAACTGTTGAACGGCGTGAGCAGCTGTGCAAATGTAAAAGCAGCTTACTGGTGAGGCGAACTTTGCAATTTGATGATTGAAGCGTGTCGCATATAGATCTATGAGCCTGACATCGATGCATGTTCTATTTATAGCAGGACTGGTTCCCTGTAGCATAGAAGTGACAAATTCTTGTCAAGGCTAGATACTGGAACAGAGTTGTATACTGTTTCTCAGGCTGTAGATGAAGTATTCCCACGTAGAACAGGTTTATTTACAAACCAGTGGGCTTGCTGACACGTCATCTGCGAGTCCTGGGCCAATAAGCTTCCAAGCATGTGATGTCACTGGTGTTCTAACAATCAGTCGGTCTATATCTTTATCTACTATCCAGTAGGTGTCCTGTTAAGAGTTGGTGAAACTATCGGTAAACCATTCAGTATCCAAGATAAGACTTCAGAATCTGTGAGATAGTTGAATCCTCCCATTCATGGACACTAGTATCTGAGGCCGGTGCTTCCTCATGGAAGGAGTCGTTGATAGATTCCGTAGGAATAGAATGGTTTATCGGCTGTTGTATCCCCGTTGAACGCTGTCGTAGCACATCTAAAACTACTTGTTGTGTGACCTTCGCATCAAAGTCCTGGTCCAACAGCAGGTTAGTATCACCCTGAGGGTTCACACAAGCGTGTAATGTAGCCATGATACTTCGCTGATGACGTTGATTAATAATAGTAGTTGTTGCGTACAAGAGTTCATGAATGCTATATCTCAGTACCGGTAGAGTCAAAGTAGTGTGCCTGCTGTCTGACTGGTTCAAGTATCCCTTTTTTATTTTATGACTGAGGGGTTTCTCAAACGCTGACGGTGTATACAAACGTCTGCGTTGAGATGAGTGTTTCCTACTCACCGTTGAAACCGTTGATGATTGTTTCTGTGAACTACGGATCGTGAACCCTGTAGAGATAATAGTAGTCGTCTTCTACGAAATACTCCCCATGATGATTTGTAGTTTGAGAGACGAAGTAGAGTGACTGCTAACTGACTGGTTCGCAGACCCTTTCACGAACTGTGTAGATATAATAGTGGAGCACGTAGACTGCGGGGACGCTGGCTGATTATCAATAGAGGGGTTTGTGAACCCTGACGTCGTAGATGAAGATCTGCGATGAGAAGAGGGTTTTCTTCTCGATAACGACGCCGTAGAAGATTGTTTCTCCAAACCCTGTAGAGGTAGTAGTAGTCGTCTTTTGTGAAGTAGTCAAAATGATTTGTGGTTTGAGACCCGGTGGCATTGCATCAACTTCATCCCTCACCGTTAAGGCATTCGCTATTGAAATAGGTACATTCATGGACTTCGTATATCTCTTTGTTGATGACTTCTTAGATGACACAGAATACCCCTTCTTCTTCGCCAGGCGTTGTAGTTCAGTCTCCTCACAACTAGGAGGCTTCATCTTAGAGATAGATTGCCCAGTTGTCTTTGTAAGAGCAAACTGGGCAGACACAATAGTGGTGAAGTACTGCTGCTATGCTGAGTGCACTGATGTAGAGTGACTGGTCAACTGTGTAGCTGCCGCATGATGACTCTACGTAGAGGGGTTCGCGAACCTGTTCACAAAAGTTGAGTGACGAGAGTAGAATGCGTAGAAGCTGGCTACCTGCTAGTGTAGAGGTTTGGGAACCCTTATGGAATAGTGTGAGGCACTGTCTAATCTACGTAGAGGGGTTCACAAAACCTTCAATGAACTGTCTAGAAACATGGGTATCATCAGTAGACTGAGATGAAGCTGGTTGATTATTTACCAATGGGTTCGCGAACCCTTTCGTGAACCATGTAGAGACGTGTAAAGCACTCGACAGAGGCGACTGGTTGATTGTTGACTGACAGGTTCAGGAACCCTTCCACAAATCATGTAGAACTGATCGATGGGTTCGGGAACAGTTGATGGTTGCATTAGCGAACCAAGGTTCGCAAACCCCCGAGGCATTAAATGTTGTCGTCTGCTGTGAAGTTATCACAGTTACCTGCGGTTCGAGAACCGCTGGTGATATCTCTATATCATCTAATGCTGTCAAGGTATTCTCCAATGATGTAGTCTCACTGAGAGACTTTGTTGGTCTAGTAGATCTAGATGAATGAGATGATGATGTTGTCTTTGACGTAGTAGATTTCTTAGATCACGCAGATGATCTCTTTTTCTTAACCAGCCTCTGTAGTTCAGTCTCCTCCTTAAGAGGGGAATCTGTAAGAGAGACCCCAGAGGGAATCTCCAAACACATTTCCAAACAACTCACACTCAGATCGTGTAGCTGTCTCTGTAAGAGCGACAGAGACAGGAGAGACCCTGGTGAGAAACTCCAAAATGTTTCAAGCAGCTCATACTCACAACCAGATATCTGAGACTAGTGAGAGCCACCCTTATCCGCAGCTACCCTTCTGTCACGCCTGTTTTCATGACCTTATATTATATTTATAAAATTGCAATTGTGATAAGAGTGCACAATATTTATAACATGAGACAAAGGAGCCCGAATTGTTGACACAGGAAAGACACTCAGGTTGTGGATCAGCCGCTGATATACGTAGCCTGCATTGTTTACATACTACCATGTGTAGACAGTCATCTAAAATAAAGTGTGAAAAATACAAAAATTAGTGAATATTAAGAAGTAAATTAATACATCGTAATGATTATAGATAGTATCTAAATACAGTTCATGGCCTTAATTTGAATAACTATGCCGAAATAGGAAGGACATTAGCCACAAAAAGGACCCATAATGACCGCCCAACTGTATGCTTGGGCGATGAAGGAGAGAGTGATGAGAGCTAGGCTCAAGTCATGTGGACCACTTTGGATGGAATTAGGGAGGCAAATCTGGGTGAATGATTGTACAAACGCTTCAGGGAATTGAATAGGATTCAAGTTTCCAATTAACCGTCGAAAGGAGAAGTGAGATGAGCAATAAGCATGAGTCAGAATAAGCAAAAATTACAACCTTGCAGAAACATGATCATGGCTGTGGTACTGACAAAGCAAACCTGACACTAATCAGATATTCCAAACACCCGACCCGCAGGCCCTTTCACTGTTTAGGAGGTAAATCTCAATGTTGAGGATAGTAGTTAGTCTTCCATGTACAAGAACGAATAAATACCATGTTTGTTTCATAGAAATACATACCCTTTTAACATGTTCATTCGTTTTTGGATCTGAAAAAACAGAAAGTCAGTTGATTCATTTATTCAGCAGTTCATGGTATACATTATTTGAACCCGCAACAAGGACTGCATATTTCAAAGAATCCACACCCCCATATTACTTCGCCCATGAAATCATTTTCAATCACATTTACTTCAACTAGATTGCAAAACTGAGTGATTTCCCTTTACCAGATGCCCTTCAAAGAGTGTTGTCTCAAGAGGATCTATCTGAAGATGTTCCACTTTAACACACCGTAGGAAAGTGTACACATGGACATCATTACCAGGGAAAAACATTATTAGACATTTGAGATATTATATTTTGGATACATTCAAAACATATATTTTCTTTGAAAATGTACATTTGTTCTTACTGGTGTTTGGTTTTATAATAATTGTATATAATTTTGTTTAACATTTTGCTATTTTTTTAGAGGGGATGTTGTCTAAAAGTCGCCCATATATTCCTCATAGATCATATCAAGAGCTATAAATATACACTTGATATCTTCAGTGTCTACATTTTTACAGCCTGAAATATAATATCTCAAATATCTATAATAATGTGTTTAACACAAAATGCTACACTGAATGCATGAAACAAACTGACCGTTAGCAGAGCAACTCTGGAATGGTGTGTTCAAAGATCACATATACTCTAAGGTGGTACAAATACATAAATCATTAATTGGCATCGTTACAAATGATACCCCCGTCGTTAGAACTACTCAGTTAGATTTTTAACAAACTTAAATCAACCTTTTTGACAACAGTGCACAATTCTCATCTGCGAACGAAATTTCAACCAATCAAAGGGGCGCGTCTCCATGATGTAATGTGAGGAATAGATATGAGGGCCGATGTAGAATTCATGTGCATTTCAGGGGGTAAATTATCTTCTTTACAGGTTTGTATAAACCTGAAATCCTGACAATTGTTGTGAAAAATGAAAGCTATATGTTCTCACAATCTACTGTCATTTAATTTGCCTAGCTTCCGAGTTACAACTTGTTTTCACAGACGATTCTGTCAAAATTGCTTGGTGTCATTAGGCCTTATTTGTGCGAGCCAGACACTAGTGATAGTGAAAACGATGATCAGCCTTGCTCATCACGGTTACGGTTAATTTCTTCAACCTAAACAGTGCAACATTAGGAAGGGTGGATGCCCATCAGATGCAGTTATTTGAAAATATCCCTGGTAGTTCTTGTCTGATTGTAATACATTATCAAAGCAGTGTGGGCTTTTTCAGGTTTTCTAATGCCTGGATGGTATAATGATGGATCCAAATTGATCCCATTTATGTGCATTTTTTACCTCGATATTTAATCATGTCATGTAAAAATATGACATCTATTACGTATGATATTAAAAATTGACATTTGATTTATTTAAATCTGTAAACTAAACAAGAAGACAAAGTCATCAATATCCCCGCAATGGCAACATACTCTTCATGAATATGTCTACGAGTTATGATTATGTCAAATGTTTTGGCATGTACATAGCTAAGTGTAAGGTGAGTACTGAAAGGTTTCAAAGTTCTGCTCCAGAAAGGAGCACTATCACCAAATTCAGCTGAAGCCAAAATTGTTGCTATGGAAACACAAAAAAAACATTTTATTCAGAAATCCAAAACTAGCAAAAGGCACCAGTTCACCACTAGACCTACCTATGCATGAAATTTCGTGATGGAACAGTGAACAGTTTTAAGTTCTGCTGCGGAAAAGAGCACTACCACCAATTTCAGTTAAAGTGAAAATTGTTGCCATGGAAACACCAAAAATATTTTATTCAGAAATCTAAAACTACCAAAAGGCACCAGTAGACCACCTGATCTATCTATGTGCACGCACAGACAGTCCATTTTAATACCCCCCACAAAATGCAAACAGCAGATCACAGACGGCTTGCAGAGGGAGGGAGTCAATGACCTGTAACAGCGGCAGTGTTAAGTCATAAAGGTAAATGCACGTGCAGTTCATGATAGTTACCTGTGCACAGTGTTAGATCGTTTGGATCATTCACATTGACTACTTCTAGCTGTCATCATGAAAGCTTATTCAGATGATGCTAAACGTTTAATTAGAAATGTGTTGAATTGTTTTTTAAAAGAGAGCAAACGTAGCAAGCCAATTTATAAGGTGTCGGACTACATGAAACGTACAATTTTTGCTCTTGGCATGAAAAAGAACATCATGCTAAAAATTGTGAAAAGTAAACCAACAACCAATAAACAAAACCTTGTACAAAAAGGTAGGCACCCAAAGTTAGATTCTTGTGACATCAGGGTCATCAGCATAGCTGACCTACATTGACGAACGTTGACCTTTATGACCCAACACTGCCGCTGTTACAGGTCATCGGCTCCCTCCCTCTGCAAGCCTTCTGCGTTCTGCTGTTTATTTTGTTGACAGTTACATAGACAGATTCTTTAATACAAATGCATAAAATCGGTGATTTACAATGTGATTAGGTTGTCTGACAAAACATCCACTTGCACAGTTTGAGATTGATTGGGTCATTGGATGAAGAGATATTTACCAAAAAACAGGTCCACATGCATTTCATGCCAAACTAAAGGGCATGTGTGCGAATTATGATTCCCATTGGCAATCTATAAACTGTCTAGATATTACAGTCCTGTTATAAATTCACTATGAGTATCAGCAGATCGCCTGCTTTTTATTAAGTTTCAAAATGCATACAAGTATGATAATAAACTAGTTAGGATTATAAGATCAAATATAAAGACGTACATTGACTAGTATCTACATACTGGTGAGTGGACGCTAACCACGTGAATGTAGCCAGACATTTATCGCACAGTATTGTCACCCTTGTACATTGACTAGTATCTACATACTGGTGAGTGGACATTAACCACGTGAATGTAGCAAGAAATTTATCGCGCAATATTGTCACTTCGATCCCCCACCTCCCTTCCGTGGAAGAAATCGTTTTGTTACAGGTTGTTCCATGCAAAATCCATTTGGTCATGATTCAAATACATATTTAACAACGAGTAGAAAGTAGTTTTGATTTTCTAACTTGATGAAAACAAACCATAATCTCCAGACTTTAGCCCGTGACGTCACGATTTTTAAAAATGGCGGCGCCCTGTCACAAACATCTGCCAGTCTGAGAATAAATGCTATTTAGGTTTGTTTTAAAAGAGTTACAAAATCAAAACTACTTTCTACTGGTAGTAAAATATGTATTTGATTGATGGCCAATAGAATTTCGTATGACATAGTTTATAACATAACAATTATGTGGGTGGGTGGGTGTCAATGTAACACTACTTACAATATTATTGTCACTTTGACCACAACCTCGCTTCCAAGGAAGAAATCGTTATGTTACAAGTTGTGTCATGGAAAATCTTTTGGGTCATCAATAATATACATATTTTACTACAACTAGTAAGTAGTTTCTCTACGTGTTTCTGGATAACTTACCATTTTGTCGATCACGCTGGAATAAGAAACAAAGTTGTAATCAGAATTTTCAGTTTTGACAAAAGGAAAACCAGTAATCCCTTCATAATACATGTTGTCTAATGTCACTGTCACATTTGGCAGCCTGTCGTGGAAGTAACTGACTCTGTACCAGACTGACATCCTGGGGAACAAGCCATGTCTTTTAAATCAACTAACACCCTGAGTCTGACCACGTGATGTAAATCACCTCTTACAACAAGCAAAGGTTATAAGCAACCTACTTCATCCCAAAATCTCAAGCAAATAGTTGTCACAAACCAAAATTGTGCTTAATAATTCCACGAATAGTAAGTCCATACCAGGAAAATGGTTCCCCTCTAGGATGTGATGCAAGAATAGGATTCAAAAGTTCAAACTATAGGAAGGGACAACAAGCATTCAGTGCTGGCAACCCATTCTACAGAACCCTCAGGGAGACATGGGGACCTGTTGTACACGACAACCCACAGGGAGACAAGCATGGAGGACTGGGGACCTGTTGTACACCACAACCCACAGGGAGACAAGCATTGAGGACTGGGGACCTGTTGTACACCACAACCCACAGGGAGACAAGCATGGAGGACTGGGGACCTGTTGTACACCACAACCCACAGGGAGACAAGCATGGAGGACTGGGGACCTGTTGTACACCACAACCCACAGGGAGACAAGCATTGAGGACTGGGGACCTGTTGTACACCACAACCCACAGGGAGACAAGCATTGAGGACTGGGGACCTGTTGTACCACCACCAACACAGGGAGACAAGCATGGAGGACTGGGGACCTGTTGTACACCACAACCCACAGGGAGACAAGCATTGAGGACTGGGGACCTGTTGAACACCACAACCAACAAGGAGACAAGCAAGGAGGACTGGGGACCTGTTGTACACCACAACCCACAGGGAGACAAGCATGGAGGACTGGGGACCTGTTGTACACCACAACCAACAGGGAGACAAGCAAGGAGGACTGGGGACCTGTTGTACACCACAACCCACAGGGAGACAAGCATGGAGGACTGGGGACCTGTTGTACACCACAACCCACAGGGAGACAAGCATGGAGGACTGGGGACCTGTTGTACACCACAACCCACAGGGAGACAAGCATGGAGGACTGGGGACCTGTTGTACACCACAACCAACAGGGAGACAAGCATGGAGGACTGGGGACCTGTTGTACACCACAACCCACAGGGAGACAAGCATTGAGGACTGGGGACCTGTTGTACACCACAACCAACAGGGAGACAAGCAAGGAGGACTGGGGACCTGTTGTACACCACAACCCACTGGGAGACAAGCATGGAGGACTGGGGACCTGTTGTACACCACAACCAACAGGGAGACAAGCAAGGAGGACTGGGGACCTGTTGTACACCACAACCCACAGGGAGACATGGAGTGGAGGGACCTGTTGGACACCACACCACAACCCACAGGGAGACAAGCAAGGAGGACTGGGGACCAGTTGTACACCACAACCCACAGGGAGACAAGCATGGAGGACTGGGGACCTGTTGTACACCACAACCAACAGGGAGACAAGCAAGGAGGACTGGGGACCTGTTGTACACCACAACCCACAGGGGACAACATGGAGTGCTAGGGACCTGTTGTACACCACAACCCACAGGGAGACAAGCAAGGAGGACTGGGGACCTGTTGTACACCACAACCCACAGGGAGACAAGCATGGAGGACTGGGGACCTGTTGTACACCACAACCCACAGGGAGACAAGCATGGAGGACTGGGGACCTGTTGTACACCACAACCCACAGGGAGACAAGCATGGAGGACTGGGGACCTGTTGTACACCACAACCAACAGGGAGACAAGCAAGGAGGACTGGGGACCTGTTGTACACCACAACCCACAGGGAGACAAGCATGGAGGACTGAGGACCTGTTGTACACCACAACCCACAGGGAGACAAGCATGGAGGAGTGGGGACCTGTTGTACACCACAACCCACAGGGAGACAAGCATTGAGGACTGGGGACCTGTTGTACACCACAACCAACAGGGAGACAAGCATGGAGGACTGGGGACCTGTTGTAGACCACAACCCACAGGGAGACAAGCATTGAGGACTGGGGACCTGTTGTACACCACAACCAACAGGGAGACAAGCAAGGAGGACTGGGGACCTGTTGTACACCACAACCCACTGGGAGACAAGCATGGAGGACTGGGGACCTGTTGTACACCACAACCAACAGGGAGACAAGCAAGGAGGACTGGGGACCTGTTGTACACCACAACCCACAGGGAGACATGGAGTGCTAGGGACCTGTTGTACACCACAACCCACAGGGAGACAAGCAAGGAGGACTGGGGACCAGTTGTACACCACAACCCACAGGGAGACAAGCATGGAGGACTGGGGACCTGTTGTACACCACAACCAACAGGGAGACAAGCAAGGAGGACTGGGGACCTGTTGTACACCACAACCCACAGGGAGACATGGAGTGCTAGGGACCTGTTGTACACCACAACCCACAGGGAGACAAGCAAGGAGGACTGGGGACCTGTTGTACACCACAACCCACAGGGAGACAAGCATGGAGGACTGGGGACCTGTTGTACAACACAACCTACAGGGAGACAAGCATGGAGGACTAGGGACCTGTTCTACACCACAACCCACAGGGAGACAAGCAAGGAGGACTGGGGACCTGTTGTACACCACAACCACCAGGGAGACGAACAAGGAGGACTGGGGACCTGTTGTACACCACAACCCACAGGGGTACAAGCATGGAGGACTGGGGACCTGTTGTACACCACAACCACCAGGGAGACGAACAAGGAGGACTGGGGACCTGTTGTACACCGCAACCTACAGGGAGACAAGCATGAAGGACTGGGGACCTGTTGTACACCACAACCCACTGGGAGACAAGCATGGAGGACTGGGGACCTGTTGTACACCACAACCTACAGGGAGATATGCATGAAGGACTGGGGACCTGTTGTACACCACAACCCACTGGGAGACAAGCATGGAGGACTGGGGACTTGTTGTACACCACAACCCACAGGGAGACATGGAGTGAATTGGACCAGTTGTACACCACAACCTACAGGGAGACAAGCATGGAGGACTAGGGACCTGTTGTACACCACAACTCACTGGGAGACAAGCATGGAGGACTGGGGACCTGTTGTACACCACAACCTACAGGGAGACAAGCATGAAAGACTGGAGACCTGTTGTACACCACAACCCACTGGGAGACAAGCATGGAGGACTGGGGACCTGTTGTACACCACAACCCACAGGGAGACATGGAGTGAATTGGACCAGTTGTACACCACAACCTACAGGGAGACAAGCATTGAGGACTAGGGACCTGTTGTACACCACAACCCACTGGGAGACAAGCATGAAGGACTGAGGACCTGCTGTACACTACAAGCCACAGGAAGACAAGCATGGAGGACTGGGGACCTGTTGTACACCACAACACACAGGGAGACAAGCAAGGAGGACTGGGGACCTGCTCTACACCACAACCCACAGGGGTACAAGCATGGAGGACTGGGGACCTGTTGTACACCACAACTCGTTGGGAGACAAGCATGGAGGACTAGGGACCTGTTGTACACAACCCACAGGGAGACAACGAAGGTGTACAGGGTACCTGAGCTGCATATCCCCCAGGTTAGCAAGCTAGAAGTACAGGGACCTAATCTAAGAGAGACAAATCATGACATCTACTTGATAGTATATACACATATACAAGTATGTTTGAGCTCACCGTCACAATGACCTGCTTCTTGTGGATGAAGTGTGGTCGAGCAGCAAAAGCAGCCTCAGCAGCCTCTTCGTTGACAAACTGCACCATGCCTGATCCTGAAGGCCTGAATTACAATGGTAGGTGTAAGTTTCTTACATCTATTACCAATCTGCAGGCTGCTAAATTATCAAATCTGCCCACATGAAAAATCCTGCTGTTTCAGACAGTGTTGACTTCGGTCCCATTTTAACCTAAAGCAGATATTTTTCCTGCCTCATGCCACAAATATGTCAAATGAAAACACAAAATTGGAAACTGTATTACTTTAATATCTTTCTGATCTTACACGCACGCACGCACACACTAATTAATTAATTACTCATGAGTCTAATTCTATATTCATATTAAGCAAAGTTTTAATGTAATGTAACATTTCAAACAAACAAACCAAAAAGGAATATTTATTTCACAAAGTAAATGTTTTGGAAAGCATCCTGACCCTAATATGAAGGGTGTAAGAGGGTGAAATACTTCATAAACATGGTAAACAGGATAAATAGAGTCAAGTTGACCACCATTCAAATTTAGTTTACAGTGAGTTTAGTTTTACACCCCTTTTAGCAATATTCCAGCAAACATCATTGTGCTGGACATTAGAAATGGGTTTCACACATTGTACCCATGTGGGGAATCAAACCATTTTTTCTACATAACAAGTGAATGGTTTAACCACTGGGCTACCCTACCATCCCAGCCTAGTATACTGGACAAAAAACAAAACAAAAACATTAACTCCAAGGTTATCCTCATTAACATCAGCACATCAAGGGGTGAGTGAGTGAGTGAGTATGGTTTTCTGGCACTTTTAGCAATATTCCAGCAATATATATTCCTGCGTCCTATACGCATTAAACTTGACAACAGACACAATGAAATTGATTTTGATCAAGCAACAATAAGTAATCACTGAGACTGCTACAAGCCGGTTTATGGTATCATTTGCAATGTAATTTCTGTAATGACGTGATGATTATGATACAAAATACAATAACAGTAACTGAATTAGAAGAACATTACAACATAGTATTAATATTAATATTTTAGTGTCTGGGACCCCCATTTTGTTGTCCACAATCCCTGAAAATTAAGAGTATGAGTCCCGGAGACCCTCAAGTACAAGACTCAAGGTAAATCCCTGAAATAACATGGGGACTGAACGTTGTCTACAGCATGTTGAGCTAATGCTTTAACCACTAGGCTAACACATGCAAAGAAAGTCTTGTCATTTCATATAAACGTAGACAGTGTGCGCAATAGCTTCCTGTCCACATGCCAATGCCAAGCAAATTTTCTATCAGGATAACATAAGCAACTGCTTTTGATGGATCACAGTTACACCTGTTTATATTATCTAGGACCTGATTTGCAGTTTGAGTTGTCTTTATTGTAACATATGCAGAATCAGATTCCTGGCAAAGTATATTGTCATATATAAGACCCGTAAGCAGCTCACGGCACTTCGCAAGACCTTAGTACTGACAAATGTTTCATTATTTTCAAATGGTTTCATGGTTGTCAGTTGACAGTAAGGAACCGATAATCCTTGCAGGAAAAACAAATTTCCGATCTAACAAACCCCAAATTAGCCAACTATGACGACTGTCAACAGCATGGTTGTACACTTGGTCCGGTCTAGGAAGTGGCATTTGTGGCAATCTGTAACCAGAACTGGTTGATGAATCTTCGCTTGTCACTGGAAATCTGGTATCAGAAGTAAGCTCAATCCTGTCTCATATATTGAAAGTTGGCACACGCAAAGGGAACTGGGAACCTACCTAGTACCAGAAGTAGCCACTCTTGAGACTTACAGGCCCTAATTCAGCTAGTGAAATTTGAAAATAGCCAGTAAATTTACAGGCAAGGATGTTATCTATTACTATTTCACTCATTTTAATGCAGATTCTGAGTGACTTTTCATGCAGTCTGTTCCTAAGTTGTACTCACTTTCCTACAGCGTTAGTCAACACATGAAACTTCATCAGGTCCCCAAACTTGACGAAGTACTTGAACAGGTCAGATGTTGTCGTCTTCAGCATCAGGTTGAAGACAAAAAATGTCCTTGACTTATCAGCCGCATCAGTCTACAGCAAATGAAAGGATAGAAAGTTGTATGAATAGATGAATGGGCGGAAGGATTGTATGTTTGTGTGTTGTTTAACGCCACACTCAGCAATATTCCAGCAGGCAATAAATAATCATGTCTTGAACAGACAATTCAGTCATCAACATGATGGCCATCTATCAAAGCAACTGGGGTACAGTGATCATGATATGTGTCAACTAAGACAATAATGAATACACAACAAGGAACAAGACAAAAAGCGTGACCACCCTAACCTCGCCTCCTACGCCAAGCATGGGTTGCTAATGACCAATTCTACCCTGGATCTTCACGGGTTTATACTGGTATGTGGACAAGTGTGGTATGTAATGTAGAACAACAACTGATGTCGAAATAGTTGGAATCCCAAGAGTAACAGTATGGAAATGCTTAGTGTTAATCATGAAACGGCAGGTTCAACCGCTCTGAAAGAACTACCATCCCTCTAAACTCACCATTCCACACCTCCCGTCTGCATGCTGACCTTGACCCTTGACAGGAAAACCTCTGCAACAAACATCAAGATTGAAGATGACATTGCCTTGACAGCAATGTTACAAGTTACATATTTTGTAGTGGCTTGATATAACAGCAATATATATCACATCTATCAATCCTACAGTTTCTAAGATAAACAGTATCTCCCACAAGGAAAAAAACACTGACAGATAACACCTACCCTGTTCTAAAACATGACCTTTTGACATCAGGACCTCCAGTAAAATCTTCCCCTGAGTACTGTGCCGGCCGTTTAAAAGTCTGACCACCACCTGGCATGACTCGGGACATTGGCGGACGTTGGCGCCGATACATTGGCGGACGTTGGCGCCGATTCATGTTCATCATTAGAGGATCTATCTCAATCTCGCTGTACCGTTCATCAGGGGGGTTTCCACGTGCCTACAGTTGGGGATCGACCGCTGAAACCATAATCGATTTTTGAAGTCATCACTTGCTCGTAGAACAGCCAAGTGTGCGAGTTGCTTGTGTTAAATTGAAATTTCACTACACATACTTGTTGATTACCTGGCTGTTCAACCAGCAAGTGGTCCCCCTTGTAAAAAATAGCAAAAAGTGACAATAAAAATAATGATCATTTGTTAAACAACTTTATTATTCAGGTGAGCAATTCATCAGTCTCAAATGAAATCAAATTGACAGTAGTTGCAGTGTTCATTCCAAACCCTGGAGCATCATTCGCTCACTAAAGGTTAATATGGTGTGTTCTAAAAGTACTAACGGGGTGTGTTGGTGCACACAGAATTAAACATAAATCTGAATGCATTACAAACTTGTTTTCACAAATCAACTCAAGCAAAACTCCAAACATTAATTGTAAAATAACTCACTAGCTTCCCTCACTGAAATGAGCTGTTAATGTTTTGACTACCCAGAACTCAGAAAAACACTTTTAAGCTGTTTCAAACTGCAGTGCAAAGCTTACAAATCAGTGTTAGGAGAAAATCTTATGCGTTTAGTTGGTTTCTTTGAGTGATCCAATCACGTTGCTTGTAGCAGTTTCATACTTCTGTTGCTATGGGAACACACTGGCTGCCAAATGCCAATGTCAATCGAAAATTCTTTCTTTTTGACAATGAAGCAAACCATTTCTTGTCATGCTGAAGATACAGAGATCACAACCTACAACCATGACAACAATAACCATAAAGAGGATGGGCCCCAGGAGAAATACCAGGACCATGGATCACGTCCACGTGTTTTTCAAATATGATGTTGCAGCTTTACCCTTGGCTTATGTTAACCATCATTACCATGATTTTAAGTACAGTGAAACCTGCCAGCACCGGCACCTGTCTAATCCGGCACACTCTCGAAACCAGCATAAAATTTTGGTGTTGCCATTTTACAACAATATTATGATCATTAAAACATTGTCTAATCCGGGCACCTGTCTATTCCGTACTCCAGCACGGTCCCAACAAGCAATTTTAACTGTGATTAATACTGTCTAAACCGGCATGGGTATGAGAGGACCCTAAATTCCAATACACTAATTAATCCTCTTGGCACACTAGATAATCCAGAAGTAGTGATTTTGCGGTGAATCAAATGCTCTAAGCCAGCATGGACATGAGCAGTCCAATCAAGGTCCCTTAATCCAATACACTATAGAGATTGACGATTGTAAATGGCAGCCAGGATGGAAAATGATCATCACTGTCCAATCCGGCACTTTGTCCAAAGCAGCATTTTATCTCGGTCCCGTGGTGTGCCGGTTTCACTGTATAATGACTGTCACTGTTGTTAAAGTATCGAGTTGTGATCTTTAAATACTATTGAGAATACCTTATTTCAGTGTTCAAGTGTTCATTTCAGTTGGGGGGGTTTTCAAATTCATCTTGAATTAATAAATGTGTTGAAAAATCTTGGTTAGGTTTCTCTTATTCAAATTGTTGACCTTACCTGTATTTGAAGTCAAACATAGTAAGTGAACTCAGATTAGTAACTACTAAGTAATGTATGGCTAACAAGTCACACCAATTTGATATGATCCACACTATTTTACTGCTGGCCCACATAACTGAGGGCTAGAATGAACACTGTAATTGTACTCAATTTGTAGAAAATGTTGTACAGTAAAATTATTTACAAAATGATAATATAGAAGTGCTGAAACAGCAGGGATTGGGATAGAGAACTTAGACAATGGGCCATTTTCAGGATTACTAGCCATTTTCTTAATTTAGAATGGGCCACTGCCCTTGTATCAATAGTAAACTATTTTAATGGGCCATTTTTTATTCTAACGTGCCAAATGGCCCATGGCCCATGCCTTTCCCAATCCCTGAACAGAAACAAAGACAGGAAACAACTTAAAAGCTGCATGTCTCCATGTAAAAGTGGCAATCAGAGGCTTAAAATTACTTATGGTAAACTTATCTATGTTGCTCCTATTAAACAATTATTAAATGTTTTGGTAATATGCAAATTCAAGAAAATGATCACAAACATATCTAGTAATAGTAGTATGTAGCAGATGACAACACAATGACCATGTGTTCATGAGATCAGTCTAACTCTATCATGTAACTATGCCACCTGACTCATAATCTGAGAGAAATGGCAGATATACCAGACCATACACTCATTGTCTAACATCACCCAGTGTCAACTGCAGTGTTTTTAACATGTTGCCATATTATTTCTAAAACCCCATAATGGTCTGTAGGTTTCGACACCTTATCCGGATTTGTATCCAACAGAAAAAGTATAACTTGGACTGAGTAGTAGAAGTGAGGTCTAAATTGAAATGGTCCAATATTCGAGTTGTATAACACTAACAGCACATCAGCTTAATAGATGCTTATCATGGCGGCCAAACCGCTGAAGTGGCCTGAAGGCATTTTCCATTTTAGTTAAACCCACAAACACTACTACGGTGCTGACAAACTTACAGACATCATCAAGGCTAAATTAGGATGAAAAAAATGGGCTAATGATTATTTCTTTCTGGAGTGCTAAAGTGACACAACTTGGCACAGTGAACCGTTGGGTTTGGGCAACCTGTACCCAAACTGGCATTTGGGATTAAACAGTTGCATAGGGGCAGAAACTAAGTATCTACTTCTGATCATGCTGATTTCAACTATGACTAAGGTGTTTGTTGAGAAAGTGTTGAACAGTCAGATTCAATAGATGAACAGGGCTGTATCATGGGGTGAATATTTAGTGTGCTGCATCAAACAGATATTATTATCATGGGACCCTCTATTATCATGGTAGTTAATATAGTCGCCATCGGGATTATGAATGGCTACTGACATTTAGCATTTATATATATTTTCAGATGACAGATGTTTAATCTTCTTTTCTGTCTCAAATAATATGACACATAGTTGCAACTCGTTTAATACCATTGCGGCAATTCGGATTGTCTCGTTGAACCCGGAAATTGAAGCAACGCTCTATTATCGCGGTATTGCTATTTTCTTACTATGGCATGGGTACAAGCAGATGACACTGTGAAACGTTTACTAAGACAACTAACGAATCTAAATAGTTTGATCATTAAAAAATATTTAGGAATTTCATTCAAATTAGTAATAGCATCATGTTTTTAACCTAAACATCTGAAACTTCTATTCATTTGGATACAAGATAACAAAAAACGTTAGAAAATATTGTTTTTCCGCCTTAAAATGTAGGAAGGCGTTTCCTATTCTTGTGGTACTTACGGATATCGGCTGAAAAAAACATAAACCATTCTTATCGTATTCATGCTTGTTGTTTTTAAATGAAGGGCCTTCTTCTCCAACATCTACATCTATCAGCTGTCAGATCCATCAGGTGAAGTACCACTCGTGAGCCCGGTAATAAACAATGCCATCCGCCATTGACGAAACGAGGCTTCTCCCATTCTCGAGGTATTACCAGGAATTAACTGTATTGAGTGTACGCAAGAGGAATCCTACGGGAAAGGGCGGGGAAAAGTAATGATATGTCCAAGTTGGTATAAACCCCCCAATATTCGTGACACTGCAAGATTTTGATCACTCACAGACTTGGGCCACTCCCTAGTTACCAGTTGGTGATGTATCAAGCGCTAAGTGTCGCGCATGGGCGATTTCGGCAGAAAACTTTTTACCGCGAGAATAGGAGAATCTGGTACCATACAAGTTGCTGGCGTGTGTAGAGTTAAGTTGCATAATTTTCACTTCCTGTTATATTTTTAGCACGGAAAATATGCAAATGACCTTATAGTTGTCGCAGGATTATTCTTGACGAAGTAAGTTTTGATTCATACTAGATGTAATGGCAGTAGGGGTCATACTAGTTTCAAAATGTTCCAGAACTTACTGAAAAGATGAATGCTTTACTATATTTCTACGATTAGACATGACATCCCAAAGAAATAAATGACGTTGAATATATGTTACGTAATTTGCATATGTAAACAGCCGATGCGGGGCGTGGTGTTTACTGCTTTCCCGATGTTTTCGCGTGCCGCGACAACAGAGAGCCCGCTATAATAGAGAATCCATAATAGAGAGTCCCAGTATACTGTGGTTCACAGGCGCGTGTAACGCCAAGAATCTAGCATCAAAGTATATATTTTCACTGCCGGGGTGTTCATTTTACATAGGATCCCTGCAGTGAGAAATATACCTTGATGCTAGTCCGGTCTTTTTCCGTTACAACCCCCTGCACTGTGGATAAACAAACATGCTTTCTATATTCATAATTTCGGCCCTCTATCAAAATCGGCGCAAAAAACGACGAGTTTGTCAAAAACATGACATTGTTTGTGAATATAAAACAAGACATGAACAGTATGATATCTACACGAAACTGTCAACATCTATTTGGCTCACCAAACATGATCAAATACCTCTTTGAAATCTTTGGTTTATACACTCAGCGTTCGTATTGCAGACCGGAAGTACCATGTGTGCACACGGCACAGATTCAAAGCTCCTGACACGGAAATGTGACTATGTTGTGGAGGAGTTTCTGGTTCTCTTTTTGAAGGTGAACACAAAACTGAAAAGGGAATCAATTTTGTAGCATTTATTGTTGTTGTTTTCAGTTAATTCAATTGAGAAAATCAGTTTTATTTATTAATGATAGAATACTTGATGCAATATGACATTTTAATTGCAACAAAACCATAACTTGAGGTTGTTGCCGGTAAAGGATTGAAAACATACCCGCGTTGAAAAGGTACCCGGCGGGTACTTTTTCATATTGAATTATTGCCATGACTCACCTTTCAACGCCAGGGGTCTTTTTTTACATTGAAAAAATCACCCAGCTGCTACTGAAAAATAATCCGGGTCACGTATTGAAAAGATACCCTCGTTGAATAATGACCCTCGCTATAAAAAAATAGCTGTTTCTATAAAAAAAAATAGCTGTTTCTAACATACTTTTAATAATTATTGAAAGGTCAAGTAAATATATACGTGTATGCAACGTACTGGGCATCTATGGTTGGATGGTGAACATGGACACATTTTAGCTCACCTGAATAAAATCCTCATGAGCTTATGTCGTGAGCTGCATGTTCATCTTCGTGCGACGTGGGTCGTGCAACACCGTAAACATCATTTCCGAAACTACTTAGCCGATGAAGCTGAAACTTGACATACATGTTCCAAACCAAGAAGACACCAAGGCATCCCTATCCAAATTCAGATATGGCGCCTACAGCGGCCATATTGAAAACGTCATTTTCGCCCCCAATGTCTGCAGTGAATCAACTTAAAGGCGTTATGTCTGTGCCAGATAGCAAACTCAACACATGCATTACGGGTTTTGCTTTACCTCACCATTTCTGTTTTCAAGCAAAGATTGTTTGATAATCTTTCACAAGATTGGTACTCATAATACAACCAAGTGTTCTAATTATACGCTTTTCAAGTCCCTCCTGAATGTTGAAACTTATCTCAGTTTAGGTATTGCCCCATGTTTAACAAAATTTAGTTGTGGTAAATTTAAACTTAGTTCTGAGACAGGTAGATACAACAATGTCCCTTATTATATGATTCAAGATTCTGTCCTTTCTGCCACAAAATTAATATTTATTTAATTGAAGATGAAATACATGTTTTACTTTATTGTAAAGCCTACCTAGATATAAGGAATAAGCTTTTAAACATCCTATTTCACAACACAATTTTATAAACATAATAACTTCAACAAACATAAATGTTATAAATAATTTATGCCTATATTTATATAATGTTGGGAAAATAAGAGATTCTGATGTTTTTATGTAAAACGCATGTTACTTCTTATCATATCTATGAATGTATTTTGGGCCAGTGGCCTATAACTGAATAAAATATCAGTCTGTCTGTAATTCGGAACGGCCTTTATTTTCAGTTATGTCTTTAAACAAATGTTCTATGAAAGTATTATCTACTTGACTGGTGAAGCTGAACATTTTCCAATATCCTCCTCAACCTTGGGAGACTAAAGAATGTTCGGAGTATTCAGATTCGATTTCAAATATGCCCGCCATCTATAGCCGCTATGGCGGCCATATTGAACATGCCATTTTGACTGACTTGTGACTCATTTCTGCAGCAATTCAGCTGAAATTTACTATGTAGGTGCTGAATAGTAAGACTCAACATATATAGTACGGGTTCTGTTGTTCATCGCATTTTATCTTCATTATAAAATTGCCATCTTGTCTCATTAGTGGCTTATTTTCACAGCGATTCAGCTGGAATTTGTTCAGTAGCAATACGTAGCTCATGAATATCATGTTACGGGTTTGGTGGTGTTTTTTGTTTTAAACTCTCTCATGCACGTTTCCGTGAATGTTCAAGTGAACTACCGTGCCATGGCGCCATTGTTTCTGATGTAGGTCTCTTATCGTAGGTCTATATGTCTCTTTGATTAATGGCGAGAGTACTTTTGTGAGGTGAGGTGAGGTGAAATTGGGTTTAACGTCGTGCTTGAGAATATTTCGCCCATATGACGACGTGCATGCGTGTGTATGTGTGTGTGCGGCTGCTTGTACTAGCCCAGACTTAAGCTGGCTTTATAGTGCTAGCCGAGATACCATGCCGCAGTGAAGCATGAATACCCAACTCAGACACATTATACTGACTCCGAGCCGACCAGTCCTTGTTGTACCCATTAATGCCGAGCGCCAGGCAGGGACCAACAAGTATCATATTTTAACGTCTTTTGGTATGACGCGGTCGGGGATCGAACCCGCGACCTTCCGCTTTCCGGGCGGACGCTCTAACCACTACACCACGGAGGCGGTCCCGAGAGTACTTTTGTACTGTTGAACATGGACCAGTAGTATGTTGGTAACTTTGTCAGCGATCCTTGAATGTTATATACGCTGCATGTCAAATCCCGCAGAGAGTGGAATTATCACGTGTATCACAAAAGCATGTTGGTCAATATAATCCGTTTCTTTTGAATGAGTACAGCGTATGTTTTTTTTAATTTTTGGAAGTTTCATGAGTAAGTATTAAGATAATGTAGTAGTATTAGTACCACTAAGTTGCTGACTGATGGAATCGGTCAAATGTACACAAGTAGATACTCATACATATCAACATTGAAATATAATTGCAAGCAACGATGTGGGCTCCTTGGCTTTAGTTCTGTCTATTGCATCTGAGGGCTAGAAATCATCGTCCAAAACAGAGCCAGAACACATTTTTGACAGGCGAGCGGATCTTCCAAATACAGGGGTCGCAGGGGGTGGGGTGGGGTGGGGTGTCATGTACCTTTTAAGAAGTTCCAGCGAAGAAATAGTTCCTTCTTTAAAAGGCTGTATCTCAGTTGTTCTTGGGTCTACGGTCAAAACAATCAGTGTTCTGGAATCACCAAGCCTTCATCTACCATACTGGCACTTTTTGTGCAGAATTTGCTCATTTTGGGAGCAAACTACTCAGAAAACTGCTGAAAAACATGGCCAAAAACTGAAAACAAAAATAACTACCAAACGGTACGTTTTAGCGACTTGACCCGTCCAGGCCAAATTGTTGGGAATTCAATTGTGCATCTGTACAAGAGGTTTGGAAGTGTTGGAACAATTAGTTCTTGAGATATTTGCTGTCAAACGTTGAAATTTTGGAATTAATTTTGAATTATCTCCTCTTTGTTATTGGGCCTAGAGCTTAGAGATTTTTAAGGGGAATATCTACACCTCGTTGCGCATCTGTGTGATTTTATTCAAACGATTCGGGCATTGGTTTAGGAGTTATGTTTGGTACAAAAATCGGCGGAATAATAAATAATAATAATCCGAACGATTACAATAGGTCTCCACATATACGCACGCACTCACATGGACGCACGCAGTCTGGAAATCTATCCAAAAATGATCTCATTTGATGATTATTGTAGTCACACCGACAATCCTTCTGATAGACACAGTTAGCTTAGGATCTGGACAAACGTTCAATCCAACGTTTGCTCAGAAACATAGTCAATGTTCCTTTTCGGGATGTAGTTTCTAGCTCCAAAAATATTCGTGTGAAGCATCGTGTAGTTATTGACTGGTCTTGATTGTGTGTCACGTAATTCAAGATTTAGTCTCGTACAATTCCATGATAGGTCTGAACACCAAATACTACATAGCTTAGGGCTCGAAAGAGACAATTACCATCACCTCGCACTGGCACGGTTTTAATGGGTTCACAGAAATGTCAACTTCTTTTTAGCTCTCACTGTCAACTGTCATGGGATTTTTCACACAAATTCCGAAGTATGAAGATTTCTCTTGCTGCCACAGTTTGTCTACTGGATGGAAGACACGGTAGCCGTTCTCTGCTCAGTGCGGGTGTACAGCACATCCTCTGAATTAACCACATTCCTCTTTTTCAAAGGCAGGTGTTCATCCTCAGATTGAAATGAAGCCTTATCTGAAAACCTATCCCTCTCCAAGTCATCTACATCTTCTGATTCAGGAGGTAACTTCATAGGTCTACCCTCGGCATCACTTCTAGAAGCTGACACTGAGGGGCCTTTAACAGAGGTTTCTGTAGCATGTGTAGAACAACCTGCGTTAATGGAATCATCAGAAACATCCCCCGTAGTAGGTTTTGGGTGGACAGATTCGTTAGTTTCGGGAACAGATCTAGATTTCCTTGTTCTGTAAGAAGATGCATATGTACCTCTTGTCTTAAAGATAATGTGTACATGTGTATTCCTCTGATTATGGAGCTGCAGTGGACATACCCATTTTGTATCTCTCTTAGTCTGCTTGGGTGAATCAGAAGGTGTGAAATCTTATGATGACCCTTGCTTGGATGACGAAGTGTCCATGGGTGGTGATGGTACTGACGAATTTCGATAAAGTTTAAGCCTATTTCCTTTGACAGATGATGCTAGACCTTCAGGTTTGTAATTGCCATTCTTCATCACAGAATTAATATTGTATGGACCAGTTTATATTTACTGAAGTTTCCCCCTTTTCTCAAGAGTCTTCTTGTGTTATGTAACATCACCAAATCCCCTGGTTGGTAGATGTCCTTGTCAATTTTGTTGTCATGATAGCGTTTCTGTTTCCTGTGAGGCTTTCCGTGAAGTTTTCAAACGGACAAATGCATCTGTCCATTGTTTCAAAGCTTTATTTTCACCAGTATCGGCACTAAAAGTTGGGATCATCAATTCGACTGGAAGCTTGGCCTTTCTACCATATCAGATTTTTGGGTCAGATTTTGTTGACTTCTGTTCTGCTGTCCGGTATGCCAATAGTTGTTACCAACATTGTGCAAAGAGTTCTATTAAATCTTTCCGTTAGACCTCCAGTCTGCGGATGATAGGGAGATTCCATGTCTACAGAAATCAGTCATGGACTTGATCTGCAGACTTGTTTGGCAGAGGATCCACTTCGCACCAATTAGTTAGGTGTGATCAGTGAAGACCAAGAGAAACCGATTCCCCGAAAAGAATAACATCTAGTATGAAAACAAG